GGCAAAGCTGGCGCTGAGGCCGGGCGGGGAGGCGGCCGGCGGCTGGGTAAGGAAGGGAGGGAGGGAGGAGGAGATCAGCGCCGGGAAGCGGCCGCCATCTGCTAACGCGTGTGCTGCCTGCGGCCGCCGGCGCCATTGAGCCGTGAGGGAGGGCTGAGGGCGGGAAAGGCGCCGGTTCTTCCTCCTGCTCGCCCGGGGGGGGCTCTGCCCTTAAGGCCTGCGGGGGGAGTTGCTGGGAGCCGAGCCCTGACTCACCTCTTCGAGGTAGCCTGGCTAATGCGTGGTGGTAATGTCAACAGACAGCGAGCAGGCTGAGGTAAGCCTGCTGGTATGTGGGAGAGAAGAGAACAGGCATGGTACAAGAATGCCTGAAGCCAAACCCAACTCAGAAGCCCCAGCTGCAGTGGATTTGTGTCAGTTCTGCGATAAAAGCAGGATGTTAGTACACTTGAATATCAAACACTTGTTCTCAGCCTGCTGTTCTGCTAATAACCTTGCCCTTCTCCCTCTTCTGTTTTTCTCTGCTCATGACAAGAGCAGAGAGGTGGAGCACTTGCTTTCTATCGTGCTGCTCAGCCGCCGTGCTCACCTGGTGAGCTCACCCGTGGGTGTTCCTGGGGGATGATCTTTACTTCGGTTGTGTTTCTCAAACCTCGTTGTGTTTAAGGTTACATGGGATTGCTGGCCTCTCACCTCAGACACACTGTCCTTACCTACAGAAGTGAACCCTCGCACAGGCATGGTGGAGGCGTACACAAGACTGTGAATGGTGAGATGCTGACATTGACAGCACATGTGTATCAAAAAACACATTGTGGAGTCTCGTTTAGGTGTAGAGCAGGGGATATTATTCATATGGCAAATGTACATTTGGACTTGAAATCCAAAGGAGGACCCACAAGAGAAACTAGATCTGAACAAATCCAGCCTTGCATCAGGAAAAAAGAAAATCAACTTGTGTAATTATTAGAGAGAGCTAAAAAAGCAAAAACCCAGTATTTGCCAATCCTATTGATCCTTTCCAGTATATCAGAAAGGATGACAGGAAGGAGAATAAAAAATTTAACTCCCGATATTCCTCTGTCCCCCTAGAAAGACTGTGCCCTGCACTGACAGGAAAGTACATGGAATTACAGAGAATATTGACAGCATATTTTCAGAGTATTTTTCTTCTTTGAAATTTATATAAATATCATTTATTGAGGGGTGCGTTGGTGGGGGGTTTTCTGAAGGTGCTATGACAGTGTGTCATTGAGGTGGAGTGTTGCCAGCAGGTCAGGGGAGGTGATCCATCCCCTGTACTCAGCACTGGTGAGGCCACATCTGGAGTACTCGTTCCAGTTCTGGGCTCTCCAGTACAAAAAAGAGATGGAGCTACGGAGACAGTTCAGCAAAGAGCCACAAAGGTGATGAAGGAACCAGAGCATCCCTCCTGTGCAGAGAGGCTGAGACCTGTGACTGTCCAGCCTGGAGAAGAGAGTGCTCAGGGGGGATCTCATCAACATGTATAAATACTTGAAGGGAGGGTGCAGAGAGGATGGAGCCAGGCACTTTCCAGTGGTGCCTGGTGATGGGCACTAGCTGAAACACAGGAGATTCCCCCTGAACATCAGGAAACACTTTTTCACTGTGAGGGTGACCGAGCACTGGCACAGGTTGCCCAGAGAAGTTGTGGAGATCCTCAGAGACATTAAAATGCTGTCTGGACATGGTCCTGGGCAACCTGCTCTAGGAGTGGCAGGATTGGACCAGGTGATGTCCAGAGGTCCCTTCCAACCTCAGGTAAACTGTGAGTCCATAACGGTGTTTCTTTTTTCTGGACAAATTGGTTCCTTCAGTTACTTGTTTCAGGTCTATTCTAGGTGATAATTATGAACTAAGTGAATCGGTTCAGCTGCAAAACTAACCAAGTTTTAAGTAAATGCAGTAGTCTTCCTAGTAGCTTAAATTGTACAGGACTGTAGATGCTTAAGTGTTTCAGAGGGCTCCCTTTGAATCCTGCACGCTTGCTGCAAAGGCATTTCTACAGAGCAACTACAAGGTGACAGAGATTCAAGGAGTTTTGTGTTTGAGGAAGAACTGCAGAAATCTAAAAATAAGAGAGCAGCCATCACTTGTGCAGCGTGAAAAGTGGCAGCAGATGTTAAAAGTGCATTGACGCTTCTAAGAGGTTATGACGTAGTAGCAGGATACTTGACGGCAGCACAAAGATGGATTTCCTGACCAGAAGAATGTGTTGTGATGGCCCAGCCTAAGAGCAGCCTGATCAGGAGAGGTCATTTTACTTAAACAAAAGTTTTCCTTTACTTTCCCCTCTCCCCTGACAAACTTTGTATAAAATTACTTCTGCCACTTCAGGAGTGATTCCGGATTATCTGAAATGTACACTGAAATTAATCTCTTAGAAAAGCAATCAGAACAGTAATCCTTGACTCACTGGGCTGGCTAGGCTGAGCCCTTGGCAGGGGAGGAATTTATACCTCCCTCCTTCCTTGTGGGGAACACCTGGGGACGTTCCTCTCTCTCTGCCTGCGTGCCATTATGATGACCAGTCCTCTGCCCATGACGCAGGGGGGACTCATCCTCCCTCTGGAAAGCCGCCTTTCTGGGCATATGCCACCTGCAGAGCACACTGCAACTGATTTCCCGGGCTCTGCAATAGACGATCGGAAGAAACATCCATGGGTTCAGAGTCACTTTTGAAGATAGCATAGCTGCTGCGATGGTGGGAACCAGCTTTGCTCCACCAGTGATAGCTAATTCAAGTGCTAATTCAGGCTAATTCAGGCTAATTCAAGTGAGGCAGGACCTCCGGAGGTCTCTAATCCAACCTGCAACAGGTTGATCATGACCTTCTCCAGTCAGGTTTTGAATACCTCCAAGGTTGGAGGGCCCATGACCTCTGGTCCAGTGTTTGATTACCTTTGTTTTTCCTTGTATCAGATCAAAATTTCATTTGTTCCAACCTCTGCTTGCTGTCTCTTCTCATATCCCAGTACATCTCAGAGAGGAGATTGGGCTCCGTCCTCTCTATACCTGGTGGTTGAAGACAGTACCAAGATCTCTTTTTCTTAAGGCTTTTCTCCAGCAGCATAACCTGGGTCTTTCTGATCCAGAAATATATTGAATTTAGGTGAAATACAGAGAATTGTTTTCCCCTTCCATCTCTCTACTCTCAGATCTGCCTACCCATTAGAGGTATGTGTGAATGTACACAGCTGCCCTGAGCAAGGTAAAACTGGCTGGTCACACGGGCAGAGGGTGAAGCTGGGTGGCAAACCCCATCCCACAGTGAGCTGCAGCACAGCAGAAGGTTTCTTCCTCAGAGGACTGGTAGCAGCTGGTCATGGTTGTCCCTCTTAGCCCTCTCTGCAGGGTTTGCTATGGCAGTGGTGGGAAAGCAAAGTTCTTCAGTGACGGAAGACATTTTGAATCATTTACTGTTGCCCTGATAAAGTTGGAGACCTTTGTAAATGTGGGGCAAAATGAGGCCAAACCACATGAACCATCCCTCTCCGGATTGGGGTTAAGCCTCAGAGAGCTTGCGCCAACCATCAACCAGGGATTTGATTTACAGCCTCCTTTTCCTTTTAACTTTGTCCTTGCTACATCACTTCCCTCAGAAATCCTTGTGGCCTCCCCTAGCTTGCAGTTAATAATTTCTTCTGAGTGGGAGCAGAACACAGTGGCTCCCCTTGATTTGGGCAGCTGGCAGGGGCCACAGAGCAGCCATTCCCATGGGGCAGGTGCCACCTCTCAGCTGTGTTTGTTGGTGGCTTCACACATGCGTTTCTGTCTGCTTCAGGGTGGATCCCACCATGGACTGAAAGGTGACAGGTGATGAAGGCATGATTCCTACAGGCTTAAACAAAGCCTGGCTTTCATTTGCCCTCATGCTCCCTGAGTGTTTGTGAGAGTTGTGATCTGCCTGTGATCTTCTCCTTTGGTGTCTTCACAACAAGGACATGGTACCCTGGGGCTAGGGAGATGGCTGCAGCAGCTAAAACAATGGGTATGGGGGGAGCCTGTGCATGGTGAAGGCTTTTCAAGTAAAACTGTGCCCTTTTCTCAGACTGAGGCTGTTTCACATCTTGTCAGGTTGTCTAAGGAGGGAGATCTTTCTAGAGAACCTAGCTGGCCCTTGAAGGCCCTTGAATTCACAGGTGGTTTTGTTGCCACTATATGCTAGAGCAGAGAGCTCTCAGTAAATCTGCTCTCCAGTGAGCCTGCAAAATAAGACACGAAGCCCCTCAGTTCTCACGTTCCTCCCAGAAGACCCGACTCTGCCCTCACTGTGACAGTAAGTCAGGCCAGGTCATGGGAGGTGGTGAGGACTGGTGGTTTGGGTCTCAGCCCAGATTTACAACAGATGGGTCCTGGACCACACACAGCACCAGCACATACGTGTTTGGTGTTTGTCTCTGGCAGGGCTGAACTGGACCCTTTTCCATACATCTAGTGAGGACTCACGGCAGGACATGCCAGGGTCACGCTCCATCCAGGGCTGTTTCCTCGCTTGTGTTTCCTTTTGTGATTTAATACATTCATCCCCATGTAATACCAGCTGTAATTCAGCTTCAGAGGCGCACACTGTTGGGTTTTTCTCCAAAGTGTCCATGAATTAGTGAGGGTAGGCGAGTGGGCAGTAAAAATCCCTTTCATCCTACAGCTGCCTGTGCTGCTTCGCATTGGCTGTGTTGGCTTGGTGTTTGCGTGCAATGCAGTGATGTGGACGGTCTTTGCAAAAGCCCTGCGACTCTCCTCTTCCTCGGCCTCTGCCTCTGTGACGATGACAGCCTCCAATTTCATCTCTTCGGTGAGTAGATCCCTTCCCCAGGTGCTGAAGCCTGGAGGAGCCCAGCAATGTGGGAATTGTCACACTGGGTATGACTGGTTGTACCTCATCTCCCAGCATGACCGGCATCACTGGCCAGAAAAGGAGAGTTACAGGCAGACATGAAATAGTTGTATTGGGCCTCTGCTGCTCTGACAGATGTTCACAGCAGAGGCTGTAGGACTTTGCTGGGTGATGCAGGAGGAAGGGTGCATTGCACAGTGCCTTACAGCAGCCATACAGTTTACTGCATTTTTTAATTGCCAGTGAGAGTCGGAGCTGGGAGCTTTGCTTTGTTTTGCTTTTCCTTTGCAACAGCTCACCTGTGACAACCCAAAGCCACCCTAGCTGGGTGTGAAGATGCACTGTCTCTAGTGACAGCAAGAGCATTTTTGACCTGCAGGTTTTTTCTGCTCACTTTCCACTCTCAGCAGCTGCCCACCTTATTTCTGTGCTCCAGCTCATAGTCAGTTCATGATGGAGTCCAAAACTCAAGTCAGTGAGACCCTTTTTTTATTGACTGCAGTTGCCCAGTTGACTGAAGATTTGGCTCCTGAGAGCTGCTGGGAAGGCAGCAAAGCACACACGCACCTGGCAGACTCCTGCTTTGAGACCACAGTATGGTTGTGCTTCCAGCCTGTATGGTAGAGTAAGTCATCTCTGGCATCACCCACAGCAGCTGTTTCTGTTGGTGGTCCCAGCAGGAGTTTGTTCAAGCAGGGATTTTTCCAGGGCCATCTCTCCCAGCAGAAGTCCTTGCAGCTCTGGCAGCGCAGGAGGCTTTGGGGTGGCTCGGCTCAGCAAAGTTTTGTCTTTGTCTTTTCCTTCAGGCTGTCCTGGGCAAGCTTCTCTTTGGGGAGACGTGGACGCCTCTGTGGTGGGTCGGCCTTGCCACGATGCTCTGCGGCCTCGTGCTGCTGCACACGGCTGCACCCCGGCTGGCGCATCTCCCAGTGGAGAAGAAGGAGGCGTGATGTCTGCCAGCGGGGGCATGGCGCCATGCCACCCCTTGTCCCTTGCCAGCCTGCCTCATGACAGCATCCCCAGCCCCCAGCTGACTCCAAACACGCCGGCCATGGACCTGCTAACCCCAGCTCACCTGCTGATCTGCTGACTCGCATCTTTCCTGTCAGGTTGGCAGTGGTGTGGTGGCAGTGACAGCCTCAGAGGGAGCTGGTCCACTCTGAGTCAGTATTGTGGAAATCAGGGCCAGAGGCTTATCAGCCGCTCCTCCGCTTCACACCCTGCAGCTGCAGAGCTTTCCCAGTTTGGAGAAAGCTGAAAGTAAACATGGTGTCTGTGGAAGGTGGCTGTGCATCAGTACTTTTCCGTAAGAGGACCTGTCTTGAAATAGAAAATTAATCAGAAGTCAAGCATTGGAACAGACTGCCCACAGAAGTGGTTGAGTCACCATCCCTGAAGGTATTTAAAAGACAGATGTGGCACTTAGGGACATGGTTTAGTGGTGGACATGGCTGGGTTAGGTTAATGGTTGAACTCGATGATCTTAAAGGCCCTTTCCAACCTAAATAAGTCTATAATTCTAAGTAGATGCTGAAGGCAGCTGGTATTTCTGCTCTGCTGACTTTCTTCTCTGCCTCTTGAAATGGTCCCATGCCCACCACTGCCTGTAAGGCTGCGGAGCCTTTCATTAATGCCTGCAGCTTCCCATGTCAGTCACACACATACACCTTTTAACTTGCCATTTTTATCTGATGCCTGTAATTTCCTCTCGCCCATTCCTGACATGTTACTCACTGTAAGGTTGCTGCTCTTTCCTTTAAACTCTTAACCAGAATGGGGTTTTGATCACCATTCCTGCTGAGTGTAGACCAAACTGTAATTTTGGGACAATGCAGCAGGCTGCATGTGAACAGTCAGCTATTTCCACTGGGAGTGTCTCATGTTCAACATATCCCCCCTCCACACTTAAGTTGGCAGTTGCTTTAACATTTGGTAAAATGGAGTTTCTCAAGCAACACTTTTCTTACGCCTCTGGATGATGCTGGTTCCCTTTTGTAATCAAACAGATCACTGGTACCCACACATTTGCTAAATTTTGGGTCAGTGATTACTCTGTGTTCAGATATCAACACTGTGCGTGTGTCAGGAACATAATTTCTAAGGTATTAACTTCTTTTCCCTGCCCATACATTCTGTTTTACTTTGAGATTTTTTAGCTGCAATTCTAATCAAGAAATATAATGATGCCTATAAATGTATGCACCATGTTGGTGATGTCACTTGTTTGCTCTAGGCTTGCCAGGTTGTCTCTGTCTTCCTGTAACCACAGAAAGTGAGTGTCGTTGTTTAGGCCCAGCTGGTAGCTAAGCACCATTGCAGCCACTTGCTCACTCCTCCCCGCTGCAGTGGGATGGGGAGGAGAATTGGAAAAAAAAAAGTAAAACTCACTGGTTGAGGTAAGGACAGTTTAATAACTAAAATGCATACAATATAATAACAATCACAAATAATAATTGTAATGAAAAGGGATATGACAAAGGACAAATAAAACTGAAGAAAAAGAAACAAGTGATGCACAATGCAGTTGCTCACCACCCATTGATCGATACCCAGACAGTCCTCGAGCAGTGATTGGCTTCTTCCCACTGATTCCCCCCATTTTATGTACTAAGCACGATGCTCTATGGAAGGGATATGGAATATCTCTTCGGCTAGTTTGGGTCAGCTGTCCTGGCCCTGCTCCTTCCTAGCTTGTGCACCTGCTTGCTGGCAGAGCATGGGAAACTGAAAAATCCTTGACATAGGACCTAAGTACTGCTTAGCAGCAACTAAAGCATCAGTGCATTATCAGCATTATTCCCACACTAAAGCCAAAACACACTGTACAGCTACTAAAAGAAAACTGTATCTCGGCCAAAACCAGGACAGTGAGTCATGTTGTGTCGAGTGGAGAAAACCTAAGGACACATCTCTGTGAGCCTCCTGTATCGGAACCTGTGAGCTTTATCATGACTGGCAGATCTGCATCATGTCCAGCAGGAATGTAAAAATAGACTTGTGGGTGGAAATGCTACTGGAGTTGGGTTCATGCTTTTTTCCTTCTTTGTAGCAGAAATGAAAAGTTATTGTCCCCAGAAGAGGCCAAGAGCTGTTTGCTTCATGTCCCTTGCTTCAGGAGACCATGCTAGCTCATCACCTCTGGCAGCTGTGGCCCAAGAGGGGGAAAGCCTCTGCCTCTCCCCTCGGTGTGCTCATAAGTCTTCCCCTCCAAAGAGAGATGCTGCATAAGTGGTGGGAAAGGGCAGAGTGCTCCGAATGCCTTTCCTCCTTACCAACATGGGTCTTCGCACCTGGGGAGCTCTGGGTAGCAGCAGTGATAGAAAGAGGGGATCTGTCCAGCTGCCTGGGAAGGTGCGGTTTAGTGTGGTGACCCAGCATCCCCCATAGGTCTGTGGAGATGACAACCAGGAACTATGCATTTCTAAGTACATCGAGTCTCCTTAGACCTTTATACGTGATGGAGAAATAATGAAGGCTATAAGCCTGATTTGTTTGCCCTCGTTACTAACTCAGCCAGCGGTAAGCTGTGGCCACTCTCGTGCAAATGGCGGGAGAAGGACCAGACTTTCTGGGTAATTTGGCTATTGCTCCTCCTCCTAACAAACCTTTTGGAAAGTTTCTTAACATGGACTATCTCAAAACTGACATTACTTTATTATAGTCATTGTTGGAGGTCAAGGTCTAGGAGATGTTTGCACAGGTGCAGAAAGTGTGGGCAGCATTTTACTTGGTGATGCTCTCTTTTAAGGAGGAAGAACATAATCTAGGGCTGTAAATTCAGTCATAAATACTTGAAGGTTGGAACAGAAATGAGTTTTCCTCCAATTACTGTGGGAGGGAAAGATTGCCAAGCAGAGTGTGTTTTTTTGGCAGAATCCCTTTCTTCTGTACACAGGGTTTGGCCCACATCTGCCAGTGTTGCTTGTCAGCGTGGGGCCAGGGCTGCAAGGAAGGCTGCAATCGCTGTGTAGCAAAGCAGTGCACTTTTGGTAAATGGTTTGTGTGTGCTCATCCAAAATGTGGCTGGGTGCTGTCGCTTGAAAATTAAAACACTGTCCAAAGCTCAGTGGCTGAAATTTAATATTTACATATATTTTAGACCAGACATGCAAAAAAGTGATGTGAGACTTATGAGTGAGCTGTGTTTGAAGAGTGAGCAGTTCAAATGTGGTAGACCTGTATTAGGTAATTAGTGACAGAATAGGTAATTAGTGACAGAACAAGAGAGAATGGCTTTAAACTCCAACAGGGGAGGTTCAGTCTGGACATAAGGAAAATATTTTTCCCAGAAAGATTGATCAGACAGTGGAGTAGGCTGCCCAGGGAGGGGCTGGAGTCACCTCCCTGGAGGTGTTTAAGGGTCTTTTGGATGAGATGTTGGGGGATATGGTGTAGGGGAGAACTTGTAGAGTAGGGCTGATGGTTGGACTCTATGATCCCAAGGGTCTTTTCCAACCTGAATGATTCTGTGATTCTGTGACTTTGCAAGGTGGCTGAAGATCCTGGCCAGCCATAAGACCTTGGTTTACCAGGACAGAAGATGGGTTATCCTTATGGGGGAACTACAGTAGTGTGCTTGCATGGAGTTTTGCATACTTCAGCCGAGGTATTTTTAGAGAAGAGTCTCAGGTACACATTTCTGCTCAAATTCCAGAAAAATACACTTTTGTTTTCATGTCTCCCAGGCGTTGGCTGTAATGAGTCTTTCCTGCATCTTCCCCTCATTCTCAAACACAACCCTAATTTTCTGGTACCTTGTTCATCAGATTTTCCTCAAGCAGAGCTCTACCATGTCACGCTTTAAACAGTAGAAGCAGCAGGTGCATGGTTAACAGTAAGGCTCACCATGTCGCTCATGAAGATGGAAGTAAATAAGCTTGAACTAATGGTGGGAAGTGTTTGCAAAATCTGTTGTATAAACAAGGTCCAAGAGTATTATATTCTAATGTAAATAATACCTTTACAGGGAACAAAGCCAAATGAAATTATAGTTGCAGTTGAACCTTAAAGCATAGTTGGACTGATTAGATAAGGAACTCTACATAAAACCTGAGAAATATCCTTGTTGTCATTGAGAAGGAGCCACTGAAACTTGGTAGGTTTGTACAACATCTCGGTCACATCATATATCAAAATATCTTGAAGGACAGTGTGTTTGCCTGGGTGATAAGTAGTTGAAGTAGATGTAAATAAGATCAGGAGATTGTTCTGCCAAGTTTGGTTTATTTAAAATTTCCAAGGAATTTGATTCAGTGCCCTGTGTTGACTCTTCAGAGACCTTAAATATTGATCCCATGGCATGGGTATCACTCACATAGTTAATTCCACTAAAATATTGCAAGTGGTGGGGTGTTTCTGAAGAAGGAAGTCATGGTGATTGAACACACCAGAAGAGTGGTGCCATGGATCTGACCTTGGCTGTCACAGAAAAAGCATGAAGTTACAAATAAATGGGTACTAATGCTGATGTATTCCTGGTGCCAAGTGCTCTGCTACCCTTCTGCAGAAGAGCGACAGCAGGCCTTTGTTTTGGGGGTCTGAGAGTTGTGTAGTGTGGGTACTTGTCCACAGCAAGTGTCGTGGTGCCTACAGCTCGCTTGGTCTCAGAGAAAAATTTGGGGTGAGCTCAAGTCAGTGGTGAAGGCCTTCCCAGGAGAGCCAGGAGTTTGCCTATAAAACCAAGTGTCTGGGGTGCTGCGCCATGTCACTTTTTAAAGGAAAGAATTGCAAGAAAACATTTCTGAAAATGTGGTCCTGAGGAAGAAACAAAGTATTTTAGACTGTAAAGCAACACCACCTAGTTTCAGACAAATGATGGTTGTTGGGCTAGGTGTTTCAGTGCCTTTTCTAAGGCAAGTCTGTTTCTAGATACTTTAACACCAAAAAAAAAAAAAGGTCAGCAACCTGCCTGTAAAATATGAAATTGGGTCTTGGGCCATGGGCAGAGTGGAAGGGGAGGCCATGGAGGTTGGGCAGGGACAGTCAGTCCCTCTCAGAGCCCTGCTGTAGTCGGCGGCTGTGCCTGGGGTGTTGTTTCCAGTGCTGGACTCCCCAGTTCAAGACGGATACTGTGAAACTGCTCTGGCACAAGAATACCAAGATGGCAGGGACCTATGAGGAGAGGCTGAGGGATGTGGGCTTTTTGGAGCTAGGGAGGCTCAGGCTGACCTGATAGCAGCCAACATGTGCTTAGAGAGGAGTTATACAGAGATGATGGAACCAAGCTCCACAGAAGTGGCCAGAACAAGAGGCGACAGGCACAGGTTATGTCTTCAGATTTTGAAGCTGACGATCAGGGACAAAAATGTCACCAGGAGGTTAGTTGTCAAGTGAGGCATCAGAGGCTCCACCCATGGAAGTTGTCAAGGCTCAGCTAGACGAGACCTCAGCTTGACCCGATCCAGTGTTGGTGACCATCACATCTGGGCAGGAGGCTGAACTTCCTGTGACCTATGGATGGATCTCATGAGCAACTCCATCTATAACAAGCTGGTTTGCCCTTTTACCTCAAGTTTGGCAGTTCCCATTGCGTGTTACTGTGCCACAGAAAGGAGGTTCCTCCTTGAGGCGCTGTACAGACCTAGGCCACCAGAGGCTTGTTGGCTAACAGCAGAAACCAAAATGGACACTTGTGTATGCACTCGTAGCCTGAAAACAAATGCACTGTTCTCAAAGGAGAAGGACCCCACCATACTCAGCTGCTGATAATGATGTGCTTCATACATCTGAACCTTTGCTGGTTGAGAAGACAGCCTGCTTGTGCAAAGCTAGTGGTGGCTCCCAGGGCAGGGTAACACTGACCAGCTGCAGCACCCCAGCATGGGGTGACCAGAGCTCCGGGAAGCCTGGACCTTGCAGTGCTCTGACCTGAAGCTGCATGCAGCACCGCGGTAACTCAGGTCCACTAGCAGCACTCGACATACACAGGACACTTTGTCCTGCTGAGCAACCACCCAGCCACTCTCTTCACTCTCCAGGGAAACTTTTTGGTTTCTGCTTAATAACCCCCTTAGTTGTTTCGATTTTTCCTTGGGGTTTAAGGAAAAGTGGCTGTGAATGTCTGTACTAATTGCCAAGACTTCCGAAGCAGCTCCTGGGGCTACTGCACACCCTTGAAGTCCCAAGGGATTGCTGCTGCTGGGTTAATGCTTGAGGAGCTTCTGGGTTGGGCCCCCCACTCCCATTTTGCTGGGGGGAGATGATGCACGCCCTGCTCAACCCTACATGGGACTTGCACAGCACAGAGGCTCCACTGCACCCTGCGGGGATAAAGCTGCAGCAACAGAAATCAGTGGGAGGGAAGGGCTGGAAAGAGTTGTAGTAAGTGGGGCGTGGCAGATGGTACCACCACTTTTTGGAAGAGGCACGTACGTTTTGAACCTGTTGCTCAATCTCGCTTGGCTCAGAGGTCACTACAAGCTGCGCTTTCATCCCGCCTGTGGGAGTTGGGGCTGGAGCTTGGCCACGTGAGCAGCTGGCCTCCTCCTGACACAAGCGGAACCTCTCTGTTTTGGGGGTCAAACAACTCTGCTTGGCACCGTGACCTGCTCTTGGTGCATGTGCATGGTCTGAACATCAGCCAGGTCTTTGAACCTCATTGCTTTCAGTGAGTTCAGGCAACACTTAGGGAGAAATGAGCAGTGCCCCAGGGAAGGATGAGGCATTACAAATGCCACATCTCCAGCTGCCAATCGACTTTCCTCATCAAGAGGAGGTATTTTGAGTGACTCGTTCCCTTCAGGACACTCCTGAGTTAGGCAACTCACAGGCACAGCTCTGCCAGGAACCAGTGCTGCATGAAAATGCTTCCTAATAAACCCTGGTGGGCACAGAGCTACTCCAGCTGCCCACCGAGGTGAGAGCATCTTGTGCTGCTGTGAAGGACCATGCCCTCAGTCAGTCCCACCAGCCCAAGGAGACTACCGCATGTGACATCCACGTGTCCAAGGGTGGGCCAAAGCCTTTGCACCCACCATGCCTTGGATCTGCTCCTATACAGCGCATGAGCCAGATCCCCAGTGCTGCATGGACTGGGACCTTCCTGCAAACCCTCCTGGTCTAGGAAGGTCCTCTCTTCGCACCACATAGTGATTTCAGTCACGCTGCTGGCTGGTGGGGATGCGGTATGGCATAATCTGACCTGTAGTCTGTAGGCTGTGTACATCAATATGTGTATAGACACACACACCCACACAGACAGATGGGAGAAGCTGTTACACCACCCCTGCAGAAATAAATGTTACTTGAAGACACTGGCATGCAAGTTTCTGTTTTCTCACTTAGACACGCGCAACCAAACACATATCCTGTAGGTGGGAAGGTATTCTGTCAGTATTTTCCTTGTTCTCTGAAGCTGTTTTTATACACAGATAAATTGTTTTATCCCCAATTCAATATTTGCACTGTTGATTACCCTGCCCTTACCTTTTTTTCAGCCCTCTTTTGCTTTATTTTTCCTCGTACTTTTTCATATTGTTTGCTTTAGGTGTAGTCTGTGGACATGTGTCCACACTGCAATCAGTCAGTGTGGTCATACATGCACACTTTTGAAGCCAGTTCATGGGTCAGTGGCAGTAGGGTGGATACAGCCCTGGAGTAACCACCCACCCCGTTGGACCCTTTCCAAGCACACACTGCAGGCTGAGGAATCACACAGCAGTGAAGGGATCCTTCTCCCCATCTTTGGTCTCTTGATAAGGTGGGACAGAAATGTGAGGAGTGAGTTAGCAGGCCAGGACCATTCAGTGTGGAAAAGAGACAGTGGTGGTTTGTAACGGGCTGAGAAGACTCTGAGTTGCATGGAAAAAGTAAGCAGGGATAGCTGTTGGCTGTCTCCTCTACCACAAGGACAGGGGCTGCAAGGGAAGCAGGCAAGCAGCAGCTTCAGAGCCAGAGGACCTTCCTCCTACTACGATGTGTCATTCAGCTGACACACTGCAGGACGAAGCAGAGGCTGGCGTGTTCCTCAGGTTCAAAAGGGGAGCAATTTCATTAAGAAAAAAAAAGCTGCTGTGTGAAAGAAGTGACGTGATGGAATTTTTGTTTTTTTTTTTCAATTTCTTGGAGAAAATTACAAAGGCGTGTTTTGCTGAGAAGCAGAAGTACCTTATCCTGAGTCTTTAAGTCCAATACATAACGTAATCACCTCAGCACTGGAACACACTTATTGCAGTGTTTCCAGTGAAACACTTGTACCAGAGTTGAGGGTCAAGCAGTCATAGTTTTGAAATGCCAAGTTCAGTCTTCACACATGGCTACTCTCTGTATGTAGACTGATTTTGCAATTTTGCTTCTTGCATCTCAGCCAGCGAAGAGGAAGGAGATCTTAGAAATAACCAGAAAGGATATTTTAATGTTATAGCGTTTTGGCTTGCTGTTAAAGCAGCTCTATTTTTCCAATATGGCCTGGACTAAAACCTCGATTTCCTGTGACTGACCACAGGACTTCTCTTTCAGGGCAGGGAAAGTGCTACACAAGAGTGTTTTGCCTGAGTAGCCATAAGCCTATGTTTGTTATATATGTAGTTATGGTCTCTATTTTATCTCTGTCTTTGCCTTCTTCAGGAGCAGACTCCCTCTGTGGTGCTGGGTTGGGTGCAGAGTGATATGATTTTCATTCCCTTTGGAGGTAAATGCCCAAAGCTAGTTATCTACATCATTAACTTCAGGTCAAAAAATCCTCTTTCAAGGTTCATTGAGAAGGAAACAATGGAATTTCCTAATAATTTTACTGGCATCAATCACACCTCTGGTATTTGCCTGTGAGAAACTCATTACCAAGTAGCTGGGACCAGACAACTTGGGATAAGTTAAGATCTGGGCTTGGCCACCTTGCATCAACTCCGGACATCCAGTTGCCTGCCACAACTTGACTCATGTAAAATTAGAAGAGAATCTGCCTGCTGGAAACATGGGATGCCCTCGGAGTATAGCTGACAGGCCACTGTCATGGCCCATGGTTGGCGTACATGAGTAAGAAGTGACCAGATCAACCCCCCTTCCAGCAGCACTATCATGTCAGGATCATTTTGTCGACAAGATGCGTCTTGCTACTAGGAAATTCCTAACGACTGAGATACAAGCTTAATGAAATGGTGAGGGTAGGACCAACATAGCACCTTGAATAAGGTCCAGCTCAAAAGAGATGGACCAGGTCTCTGTCTAGGTTTTTTTCTTTCTCTTTTCATCCTCTCAAGACTTCTCATTACTTATCGTTCCCTAGGCTGTGATTCAGGAAGGACTCGACACGTACTAGATGGTACACGTGGGAGCAGTCCTGCTGTGGTCAGTGGAAGGCACCTTCTCGCCGTGGTGCCCCTCAGGACCCAAACATGGGCTGTATGCGTGTGTACCTTGGCAGATGCACTGCCCACCCTCAGCACCTCAGAGCAACTCCAGTGGGCATCTGGGAGGATGATGGCACTTTTCCAGAGAGCCAAAAAGAAAACCTGTGGTGCTTTTGTTCTGTGTTTTAATATTTTGAGTGTTACTCCAACTGGACATGGAAAAAAAAAAAAAAGACAGAACAGAAACAACTTGAAGCCTCAGGTGGTTATAAAAAATATAGGTCAGTACATAGCTATTATAAAAGTCAGTTTCTCCAGAACTAGACATGGGGTCGCAAGTGAATAAAACTGTAAAGTGGTTGCTCTTCATGTCATTCCTACCTGGCATTGATATCTGTCGTCATGCTCTGGAACTTTGACTTCTTGTCGGTTTTGATACACAAAATAAACAAAACCTGAGACAAAGGAAAAGCTTGTAAATAGGGGAGCAGCCCTATTTACAGGCTTAGGGGAATTCCGATTTTATTTATTTGCATTTTATTACCTTCTTATGCCAGCTGATAAGGTGACATACTGTGAAGCAGATAGATGCAGATAAGGCTGATAGCCTCTGGTGTCTGATTTTGCAAGCTGTGAAGTGAGTCGCTGAAGTAATTGGCAATAGGCTGGAGATTGCCTGTGAAAAAGATACCATCTCTTGCTCTGTTAATTAGAAGAGTATACTTTTATGAGACAGATTGAAGTGATTAACTGTTGTAACTGTTTGGGGAAAAAAAAATTGGAAGGGCTGGTATTTTTCATAGCTTCACCAAAGAGGAGAGAAAAAAGCCATGCTGCTGAACCACAGCCAGCCACTCTGGCCACTCTGACCAGCAAAGGCAAAAGGAGATTTGCCTGGAGGGAGGACAGAGATCACCAGCTGACAACATGAAACAAGATGAAACCCTGTCTTTGAAAAACATTCCTGCAGTTTAAGTTGAAATCCCCTTTCTCAGACCCTGCCAACACTGTCTCAGAGGATATTGCAGTTCAATGGCCTTTCCTGGCAGGGCAAGCTTGTACCAGCCAGGGGAGGAGCTCATGTAGGAGTGCTTGTACCATATGCCAAGTTTAGTGCCACCGAATTGAGATACTACCAGTGCATAGAAAAAAAATAATGCGAGCAAGCAAGCCCAGCAGCTGCACAAAGTGAAAGGAGAACTGAAAGCTAGATGCTGTCTGTTGACATAAACCAAAAATTCCTGTAGACCGTGAAAAGGTCAGCCGCCTTCCAAGATGGAGTAAGTTCATGGCAGGGCAGAACCCACACCCATTTAACTTCTACAATCTTTCCTTGAACTCTGAGGTTCAAAGTGAGGGTCAGAACATGCACACTGTTGAAATCAGCCTTTTGCATAACCCTATAGGATTGGAAATATGACTGTCCCTGGTGAGCACATGCCCTGCCTCCGCTACAGACCTAAAAAAATTTTTTCAGGAGCAAAGTGTTACTGACATCAACCTCTTCCTGTTTGCAAAAATTTGTAGGTTTTGCTGTAGGACTACTGTGTCAACACAATTTAAGCTGCCTCCAACCAAGCATGGAATGATATATGTAGATATATAACAAGTTGAGACTGGATTAGAAAGCTACTGTCAGTGACTTCAGATCAAGTGGATTACTCTGTTGCTGCAATTAAGTGGAAACCAGTAACATACATCATCAGTGTTCAGATTACATGTATTATTGGTTGTATTATTGTACTGACATTCCAGGTATGCTTTACTTGATCCCGTGCTGTCTCTAAACAACATCTTTCACCCTCCAGGAGGAAAGAAATGCAGAGTAAAAGCAACACTGAAAGGTAAATTGGGGTCGTGGTGTTTTTTTCAACAGTGAAATATGTAATTGCCAGCACATTGCCTGATGCTGAATGGTGAGTGATGTTCTGTCTACTAAGAACGCTGGTGGGTCAGATGTTCATGCAGATGTCCTGCAAGATTATAGATGTGTACTGAACCCTTGGTGCCCTGTGATGTGCTAGTCAGGCTCTCAAGTAAGGACACCCAGCATACACCTGTCAGCAAGCAATGACATGCTCAAAGGGTGGGATCTGCTAACTCAGCATCTAGCTTGCACCAACATTTCAGCACCAGATGAAACAGTCCTCCTAAAGTAAATAACTAGCTACCTGAATTGGTGGAGAAAAGTCAGTTCCTTTGAAGGCTTCCACAGGGAGATCTTGTTTAGGGAGATTCTACATTTGAATGCGGCAGCCTTGCAGACTGAATCCTACCTTGCTGGACCCTGGGCTGCTGCCATAAGGGAGACATCAGGGCACTGTATCAGCTCACCGAGGCTGCTCCCACTGCTGAACCGCTCTTCATTTTCGGGTATTTGGGGACATGTTTGTATCTCCAGCCACTGTGCTCATGTCGCTGTTGGCCTGTGTGCCACCAGCTCTCCCCTCCATGGAGTAGATTCATCTCTTCATCTCTGGTCATCCTGAGGACCAGGGTGGCAGTGGAGCACGTGGGGTCCAGCCACCTCCTGGGCAGAGACCTTTGGTACAGCTGTCAGCAAAGAGCAGTCAGCAAACATCTCCTGATTCACCATGTTTCTTGCTTCTCCTGGACATGGCCTGTTTCTCCTCTTTCCCACCTGGTGCTCCTGCTGGGCTATCTCCCCTGGCATCTGCCTGACCCTGTGAGAAGGGGGCCAGCACCAGGGTCCTTGGGCTTTCCAACCTACATGTGTAAACGCTGGATTTTAGCCCACAACTTCAAGTGCTTCTGTCCCAAACTCAATGACAAAAATCTCATTACTTCAAAGAAAGTTAGATTGGTCCTAATGAGGAGCTCTCTTTTCCTAAGGATTAAGTGTTTGTGGGCTGCCTTGTAAAGTTAGCCCTCAATTTGGAGTCCTGGTAACCTGGATGTTAGGGCATAGGTACATTCTTGTTACTCATCTAGCCCATGATTTTACTGTTTGTCAGTGAAGGGTCTGTCCACTTGTCATCTGATTGTGCAAATCCACCTTCCACGTGAGTTGGGATTTAAGTTTCGCTGTCTTTCAGGGTCTGACTATGTGCAGAGGGAGTTGTAGTCATTTTTTTTTTCCATGGGAACTTCCTTTCTCTAAACACCACCCCTTGGCAGTGGACCTGCTGACACCTCAGAGCGAGACACTGATATAAAGGGCAGCTTGTCTTCCTTCTCCACACTCAGAAGCCAGTGGCAGAGGCTACTCAGGAGCTGGGAAGCTGCTGGCATTGCAGGCACCTCGGGTCAAAACACCAACAAGAACCATGAGCAGTAACTCTGGTGAGTTTTTAATGCTTGATACGATAACCTGCATTAGATATGCAGTTTGGCAGGTGTCCTGCGGGGAGGATGGCAGTTCCAGCGGAGGTGAGGGGTTTCTCACCTCTTTGACTGCCATGGGTGACACTCTGGGGAAAGGTGTTCTGGTGCCACCACTGTTCATGGGAGATAGGTTTGCTCTGGCTTCACAAATTCTGGTTTTGATGGATCGGTAAACCAACTGAAAAATGCAACTCACTTTTCATCAACCTGTAGATAGCTGGCTCTATCAGTGATAATGTGAAAGAAATACAGCTTTTCTAAATTTGTTCTGTGTCAAGGTGAAAGGAATTTCTTTCGGACTACTTCATTGTGTAAATTGTTGCTCTTTAGTGATGGCTGATACATCTGACAGAAGTTTCAAAATAACTGAAGAGGGGATTTATTTAGACTTAAGCTATGTCCCATGGTCATCCTGCCTGCCCTATTGTCAGAAGATCCTGCACCTACCTAGAAAGGTGCCTGAGTCACTCCTGTAGCAGCAGCTGAACCACCCCCCTGGGGTTTGGGGTGCAGCTGAGCAGCTGTGGTGCAGGCTGGGTGGTGTCTGCAGTGGAGCGGGGAGCAGTTCACAGCCATCAGGAGGGAAAGGATGTCCTGACACCACTCGAAGCCCCTCCATTTCACATCTCCATACTCTGGGTGTGGATGAGCTGAAATTTTCCAGGATGTTTTAGACAGCAGCATCTTTGGGATGTGTTCTCATGTCCCTGGGATGTGAGAGAGTGTTTGCCTGGAGGTTGCGCAAGGATGGGGAATAAATGCAGGTGTCTAGATTTTGGTCTCTCTTGCAAAACTACAATTCTCATCCCACTTCCCTCCTGTCCTGAGCATCTCCCCACTGAAGGCAGGTGTGCTGTAAACGTTCTGTATTAATATTTTTTTAAAACCTCATCACCTTACTCTTATGGAAAAAAAGCCCCAGATATTTACCAGTGCAAAATCCTCATGTCCCCATTTTTGTTCTGGGTGATCACTGTGCTCTGGAAGCTCTGAACATCTCCCCAGGCATGTAGCAATGTGATGGTGGCCAGTAAGTTAGTGTAGGAAGGAACTCTATGAGTGATAAATCATGGAACTAGGAGATAAAAATACTGCCTTGAAATTTTTTCTAAAAAAGGAAAAAAAAATCTGACCGCGTTTGGGGTTTGGGTTTGTTTCTGGCCTGCCCCAGGAGCGAGCGCAACCAGGGCTTCCTCTTGCAGCTTGAGCCTCCGTCCCATGAGCAGGCGCATTCTTGGCACCCTCAGCTCTGCTCTAAATCATTAATTCCCGTGTTAGCAAACCAGGGTGCCTGCAGGCAGCCAGGCACAGGGTGTGTGGGCACCCAGCCCTGTGTCCCGTGCCAGAGGCAGAGCAGGAAGACGAAAGCAGCACATGGGGGCTGCCCGGGGAGGGCAGGTTGTGGCCGGGCCACCTCGGATGTGGTGATGGGCATGCCGCTGGCTCGCTCCATGGCATTTCTTGGCACGGGATACCGCACCAACCGGATCACAGGTTATCAGGGGTACGTTTGCACAGGAATAAGTGCAGCACAATTGACGGGCAGCGCTGTGTGGGGACAGGTCTTTGGCACTGCGCTCTGCACTGTCAGGGCATGTTCCAAGGCTGCTGTTGTCTGTGGTTTTTCTCCGTGCATCCTCAGTGTTGGTGATGTCCGGAAACAGGGGATGGAAATGCAGTCTCTAAGTTAGAAAATGCTGGAAGGACAGATTCCCCAGGGCCCTTTTCCACAACCATCCTATACATTCAGCTCTCACACGCCTCCATAGCCCTCTTCCATCACCAGGGCTGTTTTCTGGTAGCTTCTCAGCCTGGCACCAGGGTTTCCATAAGGAACAAGGTTGAGCAGCTTTAGTGGCTGGAGATTTGTTAATGCAGAGGAAGACGCATTTCCCCTTCATCCTTCTCAAAAGGGTTAAGCAATCGTAGCTGAAATTTTTTAACATACACCACCACCCCTTCCCCACTCTATTGCGCAAAACGTGTCAGAGGTTAGCACCTGGCAGCCAGTCAGCAAATAAAAAGCAAAAAGAAAATGTTAACAAAAGGAGATGGTCAATTTTAAATCAATTTGCTGTGCAACTGATTATTGTTATATGATTAAGATAAATATGGTTTATATAGTTACTAAGTAGAAATACACAGAGGTAGTAATCTGGTGGAGGATCCATGGGCAGTCAGTTCAGTTTACTCAAGGCTGCGGTCACTGCCCAGCGCAGGTGGCAGTGGGAACTGTGCCAGTGATTTCAGCCTGCCCTGGATCTGGCCCTGCCTGTCGCATCTCTCATGCCACAGCACCCACCAGCAGATTTCAGCCTCTTCAGTGTTACGGATGGCTCTTGTTGATACTCAAGTTAGCATGGTTGCCAGGTACTGTGTGAATCTGTCAAGACATTTGATGACTTAATCCCTTCAACCATTATGTCTTTGATTTGCTAATTTCTAACTTACGATAAACTGATTTACATTTCCTGACTCTCCTGTGTCTTCATCACTGATTCATTCATGAGCCAAGTGCTTTTGAGGTATTGTTACTCCCTACTGTTTACACAGAATTTATCCTCTAAGGATGTTTAATGGGCAGGTACAAGACAGGTTAGACACTTCCAAATACAGCTCAGCCACGTTCTGGCATGCTCCAGCTTTCCCTGTCACACCTGGGCAGCCTGCCAAAGCTTGACACAGTGAGCCCCAAACTCCCATCCTCATTGAAAGCTGAGGGCTTTCTCTTTGCTCAAGTGTATCACTCGGTTGTGCCTCTCAGAGCTCTGCTCCTACGCCACGGACTGGAGCCATGAGCCACTGGGCACACAGAGGTGCTGAGGCTTTTCCCAACCCTGCTCCCATCCAGAGCCGCAGGATTGGAGAGCAGCCCAGGAGATGGTGATTTTAACTACAGTGTCTTATAAAATCATCTGCTGAGTTGGGAATGAATGGGAGTGAGGCACCTGGCACCTGGGACTCTTGCTGGAGTCTAAAACTGTGCTGAAGACGGATGGCAGAAGCACTGGTTGGCATGAAGGGGGGCGGTGCTCTGTGATGTGTGCTGCAGCACCCCACCCTGAGCAGGGATGGGTGCCTGCCTTGCCCTCCAACTATTCAGCCCTGGGGCTGCTGTGGCATACCTCTGCCTCCCTTGCTGCCCAGGGAGCCTGAGGGATGTTTAACCTCTGAGGTGATCTCTGAGTATTTCTTTTATAGTATAGTGTAGTATAGTATATATGTGATATATGTAACATATATTATTAGATTAGATATATAATATGATACAGTACTTTATAGTGCTCTGCCCCCCACGTTTAGCATCTCCCCTAGACAGGCAGCATCTATGCAGCTGAGCTGGCTCTCGACCCCAGACCTTCCTTTGGTAACTTGGGTTATAGGAGAAACCAAGTCCTTGGAAAAAAATCCCAAATCTTGCAAAGATTCACATCTGCAGACTTTAATAAGAGATTGATTACTGACTGTTGTGCTATTATTTGGGACGACTTTTTGAGGCCAAAATAAAGAATCAGCTTCAGTGTCCTGAAGAGCCCCATTTCCCAGGCCCTTTGCATCCCAGACCACTGGTGATCTCAGCAACTGAGGGGAGCCAAATTCTAGCACATGTGTTCAGTGCTCATATAAGGCTAGTCTATTGACCAGAGAAGCATACACTGAGAAGAAAGTCCACCAGTGAGGTTTAATTTTTAAGCTGCTCTGTGCTAGCTGGGGGCTGCTTGGGACCATCACCTCTGAATTGTGCCTTGGCAAGCAGAGCTTTCTTCACCTGTCTGTACCACTGCTACTACTATTACTACTTGTTTTAATACCTGCAATAACAAAGAACCATTTGTAATATTCGAGGAGCTGACATTCCATGTGTTCAGTATGGCACAGATGTGACAGCAGCAGGAGTTGCTGTCACAGCCTTGGCTTTGACAAGGTGCCACCAGCAAAGCAGCTGAGCAGATGGGGCAGGGAGGAGAGGGCTCAGGGATGTGGCAGAACCATGGGCACTGCTCCCGGGGATGCTGCAGTGGTCAGGACCTTTGGTGTACTCCTGTACAAGATGCTCGTGGGAGTGGAGTTGCCTCACAGCAGCTGCAATGATGGGATGCAGATGCACTGTCTCTGCTCAACTTTTGAGGGGGAAGCAAGACTTCTGCAGAAGTCAGATTTTCGGTATTGCGACAAAAATTGCAGTCTTGTCATCTTTCTGGCCTGTGGCAGGCTGTGGAGCTGCTCATGGCTGCTGGCCCCCGTAGGCAGTGGGCTGGCAGACATGGATTGCCAAACCAGTAAGATCCCATTTGCAGATGTTTGGTTGCTGAGGAAGCAGCCCCAAGGGCTCGTGGTGGGCAGCTGCCTGTGCCAGAGGTGCTGGGGTGCCGGCTGGCTGCCTGGCTGCTGGCAAGAGCAGAAAACCTCACACTGCTGCCACCTCCCTCAAGCCGCTCATTCCCCACTCACCATTAAGAATTCCATTAAGAAGAAAACTGTCTTTACTGAGCAATTTACCATTAATCTCTTCTTTGTTTTTTTTTTTTCTTTCCCCCTTTCTGCTAATGGCTTTTCAGGGAGCGATCTGAAGGTCACTGGGATTGACTTTCTCAAGAGCCAGAACACCCTCCTGCACCACACGGATGAGTACAATATTGAGAACCTGGTGGTGCGGCGTGGGCAGCCCTTTCTGCTGCAGCTCAGCTTCAGCAGGGAGCTGAAGGCTGCTGACAAGCTGTCACTGCGTTTCGGCATCGGTAAGTGGGCCGCCCCTCCACGGCATTCAGGCAAAGTGGGAAAGCTCCGGCACCCTCCCGCTGCATATTCTTGCTGCCAGGCATTGCGTGGTCATTGTAGACCCATGCAATGCTTCCACATGTTGCATTGGGTTTGTTTCCAGGTGAGAAGCCAATGAAAACCAGAGGGACCCTGATGTCACTGAGCATGAAGCAGGAGAAGGATCTCAGCGGGTGGCAAATCTCCATCGTCAAGAACAGCGGCAAAGAGGTAGAGCCCATGCACAGTGCTTGTGCATGAAAGGCAGCAGTGCCAAGCCTGTCAGGAGCTACAGAGCAATAATACTCCTCATACCCCTGTCTAGCTTTCCCTTAGCCCTATAATTTTAGGTTGTCAGCAGCTCTGCCCTGTTTAATCCATTGCTCCCACACTGCACATGCAGGATGTGCCCCATCCTGCTGCCTTCCCCTCTCTCCTGGCATGGCCACCAGCTTCGGCCCTCATACTGGTCCTGTGGCACTGTGGTTGTGGCCATGGTGGAGTCTTGTCTGCAGTGTCTCCCTGTTGCCTCCCCAGTGCCTGCTGTCTGTCACCAGCTCGCCCAGGGCCCCGGTGGGAAAATACGTCCTGAATGTGAAGACTGGGACTAACATTTACAAACCCCCAAATGGTCCTATCTACCTTTTGTTCAATCCTTGGTGTAAAGGTGAGTCATCCTGCAACCAGGCATGATAATTACTACTGCCAGGGACTGTCTCTGGTGGAATTTTTCCTCACATTTCTCCTCCTCTCTTTCCCACATACATTGCTTTTTCTCCATAAAACGCTGTAAGCAGCATCCTCACAGAGCCAGCGGGAAGCTGGACAATAGCAATGAGCCAGTTCCTCTCTGGGGAATCTCCAGTGTCAGGTTAAGGAGCATCTCTCTGTCACCCCTGTTTGCACCTCTGTATCACCCCTCTATTCTCCCTGGGCCAGCACAAAGATTAGCAGAGAGGACTGGGTTAGCTTAAAATCCAGATAAAAAAAACACTAGTCAAAAAAACATGTGTTGTTGGTTGGCATCAGTCCCCCAGTTCTCCCTGTTGTCTAGCTAGACCACTAAAGTGTTCAGAAATAAGTGTTTTGCTAAAATACAGTCATATAGCAACAGTGGTCATACAGTAATAATAGTGGTCACATAGCAATAGACCTACAGGAGTAAAATAAGGGTTACTTTTATAGGAAATTCTTCTATGATAGGAAAAAAAACTTGTGAGTGCTGCATGGTTATTATTTGGTGTGAATATTACAGACCACTAGCTCCCCCAGTTTAGCTTTCTAAGGAAAAATTTGTATAGCATGTGTGAAAAACACCTAACCTGAAGAATTTTTTTTGCTCCAGACGATGTTGTCTTCCTGGATGATGAGGCGCAGAGAAAGGAGTACGTGCTCAATGATACAGGCTGCATCTATGTTGGGTCTGCGTATCGCATATACGATAAACCCTGGAATTTCGGGCAGGTAAAACACAGCTGTCTTGTCAGTGTTATTACCCTTATAGGGATTCATTTCAATGAATCAGACCTGTAAACAGATTAAGCCTGTGAGTAGCTCAGAATGCTTGAGTAATCCTGCCTGCCTCACTGGGAGGGCTCACCTGCTTAGTAATCTGCACACTTAAGTGTTTTCCCCAGCCACAGATGGAGAACGGGGTTTAATGGCACATTTATAGGCAGATCACGAGACCCCTGGCAAAGGATGTAGAAACTGGAGAGAGAGCATTTCTGGTTGAAAAAAATCCAATAAGGGGCCTCCCCACTCTGTAGCTGTTGGTAACCAGCCATGGAGAGGGCTGATGGGGAAAAAAATCTGATTATTTACCTGCTGCATTATGATGAGGGAAAAATAGGGGAAAAGCACTGTCAGAGGCTGTTATCATTCAAATGGTGCCTTCACCAACTGTGGGGTGAACTGTTGGGTGCAGGACACAACCAGCCCACCCTCTCAGGAAGGGTGTTTCTCCACACTGCCTCTAAGATGAGTGGAACAAGTTTGCTCAGGCTAGAGATAAGAGGTGGATGTCAGAGCAGGTTTATTTGCACCCCGTAGAAATCATGCAGAGCATCCTGCATCCTATCCAGATAGACTTCCCCACCAAAAAATGTTGGAATCTGGGTTTTTTTTGTTTGTTTTGCATTTGTTTTGTTTTATGAGTCTTCAGTTCCGAACTGCAGGATACAGGTAGCCCAGCAAAAGCGTTCACACTGATGTCTTTTCCACAAAGGGTACAAAGGGCATTGTCCATAGGGCTGTTCCTATACTAATATTTATTCTGCTGTTAAGCAATGGGAATTGATATTGATATTCTGCCAAGCTTTGTTGTATGTTTGACATCTGTGAATTGGACCTCAGGGAACTTTATCAGCAATTGCTAATTGGGAATGCTGTAATAATCTGCATTTATGTATCTTTCTTTTTTTCCCAGAGTTCATTTTGTACCTATGTCAATAGTCTGTATATCTGTAGTGCTCTTAAATTTTGATTACTTTTGTGAGTAATTTGCAGGGCTTCAGGGAGATGACGAAGGTGAATTAGGATTACTCACAGAGGTGAAGATTGCTGGGTCAGGTTCCAACTGTGCAAGATATGTGGGATGGGTTTTTGTATTACAAAGTGGGATTTTATTTAAGTCCTTCATTGGAGAGAACAGCTTTGGGAAGCCCCGTAGGCTTGAAAATTCAGTATCATAAAGGAAGTTTAGAAGTTAGGACTAGTCAAACTGTTTCCTCCAAGTACTTAGATAGACTTTGTAGCAATTGCGCAAATTCTGTTTTAGAGCAGTGTATAAAAACATCTGCACTTTCTCTCCAAAACAGTTTGAGGAATTTGTCTTGGATGCCTGCATGTATCTGCTGGACAATAGCAAACTCAAGCTGATCAATAGAAGTGATCCTGTGTCTGTGTCCCGAGTCATGTCTGCTTTGGTATGCCTCTCTCGGAGAAATGCTTTGTCCCTCCAGCTTTCCCTCCTCCTTACTTCTTCTTTCCCTGGGGCCTTGAACACCATTTCAGGATCCATGTAAAATGGGCTCCTTTGGGAAACCACAAGGAAAGAGCCAGAGGCATTTTGTGTGGAGAGAAGAGGGAATTGAAATACAGCATCTCCCCATCTCCAAAGCTTACAGCTGCCCCAGTGGTTGTCCTTCTTCAGCAGCTGCGCTGGCAAGGCCAACACAAGGGTTGTGTTTCGGGGGGAAACTGCTCTCTGTGATGGGACCCTTCAAGATACAAATGAAGAGTGCATTTTGGCTTCCCCAAGCTGCGGTGCCACCTCCCTCTAAGATATCCAGGTGGAGGATTTCCAACTAGGGGAGCCCCCAGCCAGCACCAGCAGCCTTGCTGGGTACCACAGGACTGTGGAATATCTGGGAAGCCACAGGGTGGGGGGAGACCCAGGGCTTTAAGCCTCGTTCAGGCTCATCCCTGTATTTTTCTCCTTTGCATGTGTGTGTGGCCACAGGTTAATGCCAATGATGACAGAGGTGTCCTGATGGGGAACTGGTCAGGGATTTACAACAACGGGACCTCCCCTGTGGATTGGATTGGGAGTGTCTCAATTTTGCAGCAGTATTACAAAACAAAGAAGCCGGTCTGTTATGGTCAATGTTGGGTCTTTGCAGGAGTCCTCACTACAGGTAAACAATGAACTGTCTCCCTTTCCTGATATCCTAATTACTGTGCTAGTAAGCCACATTACTGTGCCTCTGAGTGCTGGATGTAGCAGGGTCTGTTGTGTAAGGAGACGCTGAGGGAGCTAGGACTGCTCAGCCTGGCAAAGGGAAGGTGCAGGGGGTCTCATCCATGTTTATAAATACCTGATGGGAGGGAGTGGGGCTCTCCTCAGTGATGCCGAGTGACAAGAACAGAGGTGATGGGCACAACCTGAAACAAGGGAGGTTCTGTCTGAACATGAGAAGAAAGCTTTTTACACTGGAGGGTGGCCGAACACTGGCACAGGTTGTGCAGAGGTTGTGGAGTCTCCATCCTTGGAGATATTCAGAAACCATCTGGACACAATCTAAGGAACCCTGGCTGGCCAGAGGGGTCAGACGAGATGATCCCAAGAGGCACCCACCAACCTGAGTGATTTTGTGACTGTGTTTTGTCTGTCTATACCGCAGTCATGCGCTGCTTGGGGATCCCATCCCGCTGTGTGAGTAACTTCAACTCAGCACACGATACAGAGGAGAACCTGACAGTTGACATTTACATGGATGAATACGGAAGAATCGAGAACGGGATATCCTTTGACTCTGTCTGGTACTGCCAAAGGGGGCTAACGCTTCCTACCCCCGCACCGCCCCACAGTGCCATGTTTCCCAGTCCCAGCAATTCCTTTGAGAAGTTCCCTACTGCTTTGGGTTTTCTGCCCAGGGGAGAGAGGGAAATCATGGGGTTTCACAGGGTTACACACAAATCCCCATTAAACCTGCCCTTACTTAAGGATTAAGGGAGAAGATCTCAGCTCTCTGGCTGTAACAGCTCACTCCTTTTCTTTCCACACCAAATGCATGTAGGAACTTCCATGTGTGGAATGATGTCTGGATGAAGCGGACAGATCTGCCAGAGGGGTTTGATGGCTGGCAGGCAATCGATTCAACCCCTCAGGAGCAAAGTGGAGGTAGGATTTGCCTAGAAAAACTCTTCTGCAACTTCCAAGGGAGGCAGGGACTTTTTGTATGAAAACTATGGGCCCCAGTCAGCAAAGCACATGCTCCCCATGCACATCTTCACACCCTTGGGCAGTGACATCCTAAAGCCAGAAGTCTCACTCTCAGCCTAGGATGGGAGGAATGGCGTTTCTCAGCAGGCAGAAACCCAACCTTGTAGAATGCTGTGGGGACATGAATGTCATTTCAGAGGTTAGAGTGCACAGATGGAAATCACAGCTAATTTCTCTTTCCACCATCCTCTGATTTCTTTATTGAAGTTGAGGACTCAAACCAGTCTGTAGTAAGAGGTGCCACAGCTTTCCCCAGTAAAGGTGCTTTCTGTAGAGCTTTTCTGAGGAAGTCATGAGTCTGTTCATGGGAGTGAGAGGAGTCACTGCCAAAATTGGTGACTACCCTCCTTGCACAGATGCAGGGAATTTGGAAGTGGGAAAGAAAACATTAATCCTCAGGGCTGTGCAGAAAGTGAGGTGCTGCCAGCAGATCAAACACAGGTGGCTGGACTTCGTTGACTCCATCACCAACCATGACTTTCAAACCTTAAAATGATTTAAGTGAGGGGAAACACTGAAAAGCTCTTACCAGACATTGTTCATCTAAAAAAAAGCCCCAACAGCTCTGAGATAAATAGGTGCTTTTGGAGTTCATCACTGAGTTGGAGGAATAATTTCTACTGTGTCAACAACCATAGCCACAGATTCCTGCTTGGGTGGGTCTTAGGGTGGAACAAAAATTGGAGGCTCTGTTAATAGTTGGAAAAGCAAATGGTGTTGAATGCACTTTCTAGGTATTTTCCAGTGTGGTCCATGCCCGCTGAAGGCTGTCCGAGAAGGGGATGTGTATTTGCCCTTCGATGGCAAATTTGTGTATGCAGAAGTGAATGCTGACAAAGTCTACTGGATGGTCAAAAAAGTGAACGGCAAGGATAAGTACATCAAGCTGAACACGGAGACCCAAGACATTGGTGTAAACATAAGCACAAAAGCCGTTGGGCAGGACAAGCGGGAAGACATCACTGCGCAGTACAAGTTCCCTGAAGGTGACTGCCCCTATCCTCTAAAGTAGTGCCAAAGAGGAGACCCCTGGCCATGTAGGTCACCCCACAATGTGTGTTTTCTCCAGGAGAAAACCGCAGGGGTGGCTGCAGTGGCAAACCCAGTGTGAGGCCTGGAGACCTGGGGAAGGTGGTGTGGTTCCCGGGCAGCTTCATGCCCACAGTGACACCCATAGGCTTCTCTTTGGGACAGGCACCAGCAAGCTGGCAGGCAGTGAAAGAAATGGGCTGAGTGGCCAACCTAGTGGTTGGACTCACTGTTGCTCCATTTCTTCATTATTATTCTTGTCTGTCCATTCTTCAGACCACACTGGAAAGAAAAAAAAATTGCATTCCCTCCCCATGGTTCTCAGATCCAGCCATGTCGTGCTAGACCATGAAACCCTTCCCAGTGAGGAGCAGGAAAATCTTAGGCTGAAAAATTTAAGAGAATTCATCCTCTAAAAGTGTCTCCTTCAGGCAGTTCTTCCAGTCCAAAATGCTACAGTTAAATCCAGTAGTAGTGCAAATCAAGAAGGTGTCAGAGCAGAAGCTGGAGGTTCCCTGACATCCTCTCCACTCAGCAGCAGCATAAATAAAGGGAAGGTGCCTCTGGGTGAGGAGGCTGAGATACATCTATCACCCATCTTTTTTCTTCACCCAGGCTCCAAAGAGGAAAGGAAGGCCATGGAGAGAGCTTTGTCCTTCATACGCCCTTCAGGACTGACACCTCGTGCACACATGCCTTCAGCTATGCCCATGGCTGGTGCACTCTCCCAGCCTGCGGCCCTGTGTGTTGCAGTTTCCAAGACTGGGGTCCATCTTGAGATAACCAATAAAGAAGCTTTGTACCCTGGCAATCCCCTTGAACTGGTTATCACAGTGAAGACCTCAACTCCTGGGACCCGGACCATCGATCTTGCTGGCTCCTGCCAGCTGCAGTCCTATACTGGGAAAGTTGAGGCCAGCCTTGGATGTGTCAAGGAGACAATCAAGCTGGAAGGCAAATCTGGTAGGCACAGAAAGCTTGCTGTGTTCTATGGACTATTTACTGTGGCAGCCTGGGGTTTCACTGGAGCCGGTTCATAATAGCTCCACTTTGTATGGCACAGAGCAGAAATTGCCTGCCCGCCACCCACCTCTCGTTACTGCGTTTGGGAGTCTCAGTTAGACTGAGATCCCACTGCAGTGGGAACCAAAACGTGAAGGCCCTGTCCCCCCGCTGCAGCTTCAGATGGTTAGAAATACATCAGTGTGGGCAGACAGATGTTTTCGTGGTGTGAGCAAGGTGCTCCAGCATCTCCCTCCCGTCCTTGCTGTGTAAACAGCAAAGATGCCACCTCAGGCTTTGGGTGTGTCTGTATGGGTCAGATCCCTCACAGGATTTAGATGGCTGGAAATGTCATCCTTTTTTTTCTCCTTGTGCTTGCCACTCTAAAGTTGATCAGTGGTGGTGATGATGGTGACTGTCATTTTCTGAATTCTTCACTCAAGCAAATTTCAACCTCATGGCTGCCTGCCTAGCTTATCCCAAGAACTCTTTGCTGTTTATCTTGGAGTGACCTGGGTTGCATTTCTCATCACAGCAATGTGACTGAAATTTGCTAAACAGACTAACGAGTGATGAATAATTAACAGAACTTGCTCATTGCAAGTGTGATTTACTCTCGTAAAAAAAAATCTTTGCTGCTAGTGCTTGCTGAGTGTTTTCACACATACACTGTGACTGTCAAAATGCAGCAGGGTAGGGCACAAAGGTAGCTACATACATTTAGAGAAAAGGACAGGCTTTTTTTTTTTAATTATTTATTCCCAGAAACTAGGAAGCCTTGCAACTAAGGCAATGTTCAGGCTCCAGCACTGCTTACTTGGTGGCTTTCCTGAGCCACTGGAAGTTTGTCCAGGCAATTAAAGACAAAATCTGAAGTGAGAGGAAAGCCACTAATTCTATAGGAAGCAGTGTCTCAGAGAAACCCCAGGGGACATGGGCTTAAATGTACCCATCCTCATGCCCCTATGCCTCCTCCTGAATGCCGAGGCAGCTGGGGACGTGGGGTGCCAAGACACTGGATGTGAGCCTGAGCCAGAGTTCAGCTTGGCGGGGAGATAGTGTGGGCTCAGCCACCCTTCCTGTGGGCTGCATGTGCCAGGTACCACCCACCCAGCCAGGGGACATGGCCTCAAAGGACCCCTGGGTCTAGCTGAAAGCAGGATGATCTCAGCCAAATATGTCTCATCCCGCACCATGGGACACCCGCCACCCAAGCTGACTTTGCCACCCAATTCCTAGGCATGTGATGAAGTACCAAGTTGTGTTTTCTCTCCTACAGAGATGCAGGTCCCTCTGAAAATTGCAGCCGATGCATACATGAAGACTCTGTCCTCGGTGGAAGATGAAGTACTCATCCACATCACTGCCATTGCCGAGGTCCAGGGGACAGATTACAAACTCACCCAGGACACAACAATGAGATTTGAGTACCCTCCCATCACCATCCAGGTGAGGCAGCTGCAAGCCTGGCTCCTTGTGGACAAGGGTCACAACCCTGCTCACTGTAACACCATGGTGGTGGTAGCATTCCCAGGGCAATCTCGCAAACAGCTGCCTCCTGGGATGCTCAGTCCTTAGCGTTTTATTTGGCTATTCAACCTTTATTTGAAGGTTGAAAGCAGCCATGAAATGATGATGTTTATTGCCCCATCTAAAATGGGCAGGCAGGGGCTGCTGGAGGGGAAGTTATGGAGGAGAACAGTTTGTACAGAGCCCATCTCCAGTCCCACAGCTCTAACTCTTGATGGAAAAACATGTTAAGAAACCAGAGAGAAGAGCTGGGAAAACAGCCAGGCAGGGCAGAGCACACAGTGCTGCAAGAGGGTGGAAAGGGTATGAGGGGGTTGTTTCCTACCATGGTGGTGGTGAGAAGCAAACATGCAGCAGCTCCAGCATCTTTATTAGCCCTCTGATCCCCAATATTTGGGTTTGTTTCTCTCTTTCCTCCTTTTCCAGATGCCAGAAACAGCCAAACTGAACAAGGAGTTCACCTGTGCCTTCATCTTCAAGAACAACCTGAACGTGCCCCTGGACAACTGCAAGCTGCTGGTAGAGGGCTTGGGCATATTTAAGATGTCAACATTTGATCAGGGGTAAGAAGATGAGCTCAGTATGAAATGAGCTTGGCAGCACTCTGCTTTGTTTCTTTTAATTTCCCTTTAAGAAGCAGTTAGGGGATTTGGAGTAACAGGGCTCTTTGCAAGCTGATGTTGAAACTGCGCCACATTTGGGTGCAGTCCACACAGCAGAAAGACCCACACAGATTTTGGTGAGTTCAGGGCATTCGGGCATGACAGGAGCTCTTTCTGCACTCCTGCTGTGATGCCGGGTGCTGCCCCATCAGTGTGAACACAGCTGCTTCCTTCAGAGCTGAATTTAGTGCTTCAGCAGTACAGGGAAGCCTGGGGAAGGTCCCCAGGATCGTTGGGACCACCAGCCACAGCCACTGTGCTGAGCCCCTCTTGCTGCATGTTGGTCACCGGAGAAGGGAGACACCCACCCTAAACACACTGCAGCCATTTATGTAAGCAAAACGATTTGAAAGAGGCAAATAAGAACCATAACTCATGCTGGGACTATTTGTTTTTTCTTTCTCCTTAGGGATGTAAAGCCTGGTAGGATCATTAAGTCTGAAATAACATGCACTCCGACAAGACTAGGAGAGAAGAAAATAATAGCCAAGCTGATCTCGACCCAGATCAAAGGGATCTCTGCAATGAAGGCCATCACCATCACTGAGTAGGACCGGTGCCTCTGCGGGGTATAAACGGTGGCCTCACTAAATGTGCAGCACCGCTGGGTGTTGGGCGCTTCTTGCCTCCTTAATTGCTGATCAGTAATCTAGAAGTAAAGAGCAAAAATCCCATTAAGCTAAGGACATTAAACTGACTAAAAAGGCACAGTTGCATTGATTGCAGTTAATTGTGATTCAATAAAGATTGTTAAAATCGACTGTGTGATTGGGCTGTATGACATCGCGGGGTTGGGGTGGCTCCGAACCTGCGCGGAGAGGTTCCCACCTCAGGCCAGGGACTGGAGCTCGCCAAGGTGCCAGTTTCAGCCGGTGGTGGGTGTGAGCCTGGGGGTGTTTCGCTGCCGGGGCCAGCAGTGCTGTGGTCCTACATGGGAGGCCCCCCAGTGACCTCACTGCACCACGGGCTGCTGCGCAGCTCAAGAAACGTTTTAAGCAAATCTATCCTGGGTGATTCCCTCTCCCTCCCAGCTAGCCGGCTGGGGAATGCACTAGCACGTGCCTTTTTTTGTCTTTAGACAATAAAAAGAGCAAACTTGGCACAGTCTCCCCAAACGCCACTTTTCATACATCTTCCTATCCCACCCAGTTTCTTTTGGGGGTTTTCAGGCATTTTTGGAAGTACTATCCCCAGCAGCATTACCAGTGCTTCCACAGAAATGTATAACCTCTATCCTTCCACCCTGAACGCTGTTGGATTACAGGCAGGACCTTGATGGTGGTGTACATCTGGAGCTCTTCCAGCCACTGCCATGTCAAAGGAGATGACAGCTGTGCACAGCTGGAGCCTGCCGCTGTGCTGCACCCCCCAGCACCCCCTGAGCCCACCGGCAGCCAGAGATTGCTCTGCCCACGGCATCGCCACAATGTGCCCAGCAGCTGTCAGGTGCTGGGGTTTCCAGCATTTCGGTGAGGAAACAGGATGTTAAGCCATGCAATAGTACAAGGGCTTATTTATTTGTTTATTTGAAAGGTAAATACTCAAGCATTAGGGCCGTAGAGAGGAAAAAAGAAACGGCGACTGCATCTGGTTATGTGCCAGCCCATAAAAAATGAGGAGGAAGGAAAGGAAGAGGAAGAAAGGTCTTGACCACTCCCTTGTGTTTCAAAGATTTGGGGAACCCCCAGAGGAGTGTCTAGGCGGCTGTTTGGCCACGAGAGGTGGTCAGGCTGCCCCAGCCCCTGCCGCCCCTCTGCCCATCAGGTCCCGGCACCCCATGGCAGCACTGAGTTCCTGCAAGGCCACCTCCTGTGGTGGCAGGACAGGGAGCGGGAGCCCCGTTCCACAAGGTGCAGGGTCCGTGTGTGGGGCCTGTGGGGAAGGGAGGAGCAGGTGGTCCTTGGAGATGAAGTATTAGTTCTTTAATAAGTACAATAGCGACTGGAGGCATAAAAAGGAATTACAAACAGCAAAATATATATATTTACAACAGAAGTAAACTCTTTACTTGCATAGAAAACCTGCTGTAGAAGACACCAGATAAGAAGTACAAGTACACTTTCCATGTCTGCCATGACCCTGTCCATCATGTATTAACACCTCAGGCCGGAGCAGGGATGGGATCTCTAGCAGACCACGTCACACTGAGCAGTGCGGGGGGAGCACCCTCCCCAGCCCGCCGCATTTGTGGCACCACAAGCGTGCTCTCAAGGAGCATCTTCCCTGGGGCCTGGTGAGCTGGCCAGGACCACAGCAGCATGACCTGAAGATGAAGGCACAATTTAACAAGGGGCAAGGAGTGTGTGGAGTGAAGGAAAACAGTGGGTTTGGTTTCAATTTAATGAAAATCCCATTTGGTCTCAAGCTACCAGGTAGTCATTAAAGAAGGAGGTTTATACTAGAGCTGTGGATAAAACAGATTTTTTCTGACTTGTGAAGACTCCTGCAATTTCCGATAGTTGCCACGCTATACTGAGACAGAGAGGAGTACCAAGGGGTACTGGGACTTTGAGGGGGGGAGGAAGAAGAGGGGGATGAGGGAGACTGACAGCTAGGAGATACCAGAAGAACTGATTTGCTGGATGTAGGAGATCACCCCACCAGGTCTTGGAGGGTACCAGAGTCAGGGTTGGGTTGGCTGCCCACAGCTGTGTAAGGCACAGGGACATGTCCCCGTCTCTCACTCAGACCATAACCACACTGTGGGAGGAGGGGAGACGACTCCTAACTCTCATTGCCCTCTTCACACTGCTCTTCTGATTAAGCTATTAAAAAACCCCCCAAACTTAGAAATTCCAGCACCTGAGGAACAACATGAGAGGTGGGAAACAGAAGCAAAGGACGCCTGTTCTCATGATAAGGTGAATCAGCTTTGAGAGTGAAGGAGGAAATATACTCACTCTGTCCGTGCCCAACCAAAACCACGTAAGTGGGGTCCATGCCCTGAGAAGCATCACCAAAAGGCAGCACAAAGGGGGTCTCTCCCAAGCCGATGTCCCCATGTTCCTGCCTCAAGGTGATTTTCAGCCATTAACTACTTTGTGCCTCCAGGACGCTGTAGCACCATTCCCACTGCAGACACAGCACAGAGGCAGGGATGTTAACTGGATGTAGAGGCCAAGCAGCAAGCCAAACTTAGAAAATAAGAGCTAAAAAGGGCACTCTTATTTGTCCTCCTTCAACATCCCTATTGCTCCCTATAGGAAATCCCTTACTGTATGTCTGTATGTCCCTCAAGTCCCTTTTCTGTGGAACGCTGACAAAGAGGAATGTAGGCTGGTGCAGAAGTTGAAGAGCTTCCTCCCTCACTATCACACTGCTGCGCAGGGCAAAGACATTCAAGACCTCATGTCTAAATGACATGAGATGACACCTCAATTCCCCCCAGATGCAGGGTATTTCCCTTTACCTAAAAGGTTTGTATAAATACACAGTTCCTAATGATTTTTTCTATATCTGTTTTGCATTGACAAAGAGGAGACATCCAGAGCGGATAGAGGATGGGATGACTGTTTGGAAATACCCCCTGGGTTTTAGCCACGCTGTGCTTCCAACAGTCACGGCACTCCCATTTGTTCCCAGTCCCTTTGCCAGAAAAAGGGACTGCTGTGGCAGAGGCCAAGTCTGGGAGAGAATCTCATCCTTCCACAGTAGCCCTGAATGTCATACCATTAATACATATTAAAATGCTTTTCGGGGGGAAAAAAAAGAAAAAATCTTGCACAAATTCCATTTGGTACTGCTGCTATAACTAACAAAAACTTCATATAGTTCTTCCACAATACCATGCTTTCATTCCCCAAATTCCTTTCCTACTTTCAAGAGGAAGCAATTATCTTTGGTCCGTGTTACACAGGAGGGGGAGATAATGTCAAGCATGTTCTGTGGGGGGAAAATCAGAGGCATGTCTCTAATATCCTCCACAATTTACTGACAATTAAGCTAATGGAGACAATGGGAAATTAAAAAAAAAGCAATTGACAAACAGTCTAAATCAAAACTACACTGACATCTGGAACATGTCAAATGTTTGTAGCATATTTGAATGCAGTGGTTAATGTCACCTCTGCATGATTTTACTGCAACTATTGCCACCTGCAGTGACACCTTCCTTGAGCGATGCATGTTCCTTCTACTTGTTCACCAACGTTCACCAGAAGCTGGCTGAAAAATTAGTGTAAGGAAACACCACATAATGGCAAGTACTAGTAGTACATTAAACCCCAATAAGATTACGAGGCATTACTCATTCTCAACTAATTCTAGCTACCAAGAAAAGAAAAAAAGTAACACATCTAAATTAGACAAGTCAAATGGACAGAGCCAGTACCTCCATCAGCAGGGTGCTCACGTCTCCCTCTCTTCTTTCACTGCAGAAACAGCCCCGGTGCCTGGCCTAGACCAGCTGCATAGTTCAGCCAGGAAGCTCCTGCTCCACACCTCCTAGGTGCTAATGAATCGCAGCCCCATGGCAAAAGCTTCCCCTCACCAGCAGCTCGACAACCCAACCAACACTTGTCTGCTCTCAGCTACACTGGCCACAGGCGAACGCTCCTGCCAGCCCAGCACCACCACCAGCCCACTGGCTCCAATGCTGCTCAGGCAAGCCCCACCAGTCTTGGGCAGCCCCATGAGCACAGAGGGTTAAAATTTACCCCTGGAGATATTTCAGAGCCCAAAGGAATTACACGCAGGGTGAGCTCGCTTATCTGCTGTGGCCATAACCCTGTATCCCACCTCTGCTAAGACCTCAGCACCAGCAGCTTTCATAATCCAGAGGCAGCATCCATGGGATAAGCTAAAAAGGATGTGTTTTTCAAGAAAACCTTTAGAGCTGGGCTAATTTGGCCTCCCCAAAGGCTGCTAAGAACAAAAGATTCACCAGACTCCTTAGGACTGCACATTTCTGGGAGCTGGGATCAACCGATCTGATGACTATTAACTTTCCTTAAAGGCCAAGTAAGAAAAGCTCAGTAAAGCAGCTGATGCAGGTCCAAAAAGGAGCTTATGAATCTCATCACTTACACAGCTTTCTCTGGAGATTTGCATTGCTTCTGCTAGTGCTGTACCTGGCTTCCAGATAAATACTCCTGAATTTTTTAATGCACCAAAAGTATGTTAAAAAACAACCCCTTAGATCTCCAGCACAAGTAGTTATTAAAAAAAAAACAACCCAGAACTGAAAGCTTCTCCTGACACCATGGAGGATCTTTTGCTTATTCCTGTAACATTTGGATGGAAACGTCTCGAGCGAGAAACTGCTCAATTTCTTCTTGGGTCATTATTGCAGATGCAGGAGCTGCTGCCACCACTTCAGAGGGCGCTGGGCTCTTGCAGTTCAGGTTCGAAAAAGGGTTGAACCAACTCAAGGAGAAGGCACCACCGAATGCCAGCTTCATTCCTTCCCAGCCGCTGACCTTCTGCCAGGTTGGCTTCTGATTTTTAAGACGCTCAATACCCTGCAAGAAGAGAAGAGTTTTGGGTCGTCTCACATTTATAGCAGGTATATACAGCACTGCTGTAGCACATGTAACACTGCCTACCTATAGCCAGGATGTTATTCATGTTTTAGTTAACCATGAAGACAGATGTGCTGCATTACTGAGAGTTTCAACCCAAATTTAAAAACAAAACCCTAAGACAAGACCAAATTCATTGACTATCTGAATCTCAGTGACATTTTGGTATCAGTGCCTATTGATTTTTTATGGTGAAGAGATGCCTTCTGAAAAGCCATCCCTTTTGGAAACATGAACCTTTTCTTCCGTTGCTTTTTTAATCCCTTCAAGGAGCAACAAAATACAATTAGAATTTAAGTTTTCACCTTATTTGGACATTTTCAAAATAGTTCAGATACAGGCAAAATACTGCAACTTCTTCCAGTGACCAGGAATTTACTACAGCCATGTCTAGGCTTGTCACTAGAAGCTGATGTAAGAACAAGCTTAGGCTTTGTCAGTTAAGAGGAAAGATTTAAGAACACAATTTCCATTTAACAAAACACAATGCAAGCTGGATACCCACTGGGAGGTGAGGAAATCTGTACAGGTGGAAGCAGAGGTTTCAAAATGCAACCGGAGCCTTGGTCAGTCAATATTCTGATTCATTCTCCCTCCAAGAATATCACTTTTCATAAAACAAACACTTTGATTGTACTTAAATAACAGATCCATCAAATTTGGGCAGCGATTTTTTTTTTCTGGTAGTATTCTCCATGTAGAAATAAGTAACTAAGAATTTTTTTTTTTAAGGCTACTGCTATGTGAAATAGGGCACAATTTTTTATCATGTAGGAGTCAGATCTACAGCTGTGTATGATACGCTCACAATGATATACAAGTGACCATGGAGAAACTCTGTTCTTAGAGAAACAAGAATACTAGATCCAAGTTTTTGAGATACTCAAGGAAAGGAAAAAAGAGCAAATTCAGTTAAAACCATTTAAAAGAGCAGTTTTAGAAGAGCTGGATGAAAAATACACTTGCCACATCCTAATTCTGCAGATTTTCCCTGAAACCCCCCAAAACATTTCAAAGCTTTGGAGGAGGGGAAATGAATACACGTAACAGCTCAGCGGCACCACAGCTGCGCTCACAGGAAGCCTTATAAATAACATGACATTTCAGCGCAGCAGCTTGGTTTTGCAGTAACACTGAGTCAGCACGAGCAGGCCCGGGAGAAAACACACCATAAACAGAAGAATTACGTGCAAAGCTTTTGCGAGCTTCATTCATGCCTCGTTTCTCGTGCTGACCTAAGAGAAATCCAGCAGTGAATTTGCAGACAGAAATGACGCGATACCAAAACTGAAGACTTCAGGGATGCAATTCCAGGAAAAATTCAAGCCCTGAAGGACAAACGCGTGTCTTGCCACGCTAAGCACAGGCACGTGTCCCCGCGCTCTGCTCCCAAGCTTGCAAACGCGCAGCTTCAACCGTTCCAGGGAAAAAATCCCTTGCAGCCTCTGTCTCTGTGGGACGTGACACTTGGTGCTGTGGCAGGCAGTGCCCGTCCTTCCCTCCGTGCTGGGCAGGCCAGGAGAGGAGCAGCACTCACACACGGCACAGCAGAGCCTTGGCAAAGCATTTTATAACACTACCATGTGATTTTCACCCAGGATACTCAGTGCCAGCACCCTGCAGCTGCACAACCAGGAGGCAGATGCTTTTGCAGTTTAAAGCAGAAGACCACCTTTGGTTGGCTGTTCCTTAGTAAACTGCAGAGGTTTCTAATGCGTTAACTGGCACCATGAGTGCAGCATTTATTAAGAGAGTATCTAGACAGAAGGAAAACAAGTAGCACAGGGCAGGAGGAGAAAACAGACACAAAGCATTTAAACCCTTCCCCGGCAGCACAAGCCAGCCCTCAGTCATGTGCATCACTTGGTTTGATCCAGGATGCCATATTGATAGGGAATAAGGATCTTCAAACACTTCTGGGCAGCAACCCCTCTCTTCCCCCAAAAATGTTGTTCACCTGCTCTGAACCGTTATCTGCTAATCAAGGCGATCAGCAAGGTCAGGCTGAGGTTGTAGTAATGCCAGATTAGGCAGCAGTTAATCAGAGCAGGCAGGGACATACTTTCTCTCTCCCAGCCTGACCTCGCTAATCCCTTCAGGGCACGTATTGAAAATGAGCAGAAGGTTTAAAAATTGTATCCTGGTCTGATTTTGGCTGACTGCCACACAGTCAGGAGGGCGTAAGGTTTTGCCTTAAAAAAAAAATTTAAGGGGGGAAGAAGGAATGCACAACTGTTGAAAATACTCATTACTGTTTAATGAAACTTTTAAAAAAATATATTTACCCAAAATCTCTCACCATTTTTCTTAGAAAGTGAGAGTTTTGTATTGCAAATTAAACCAACACATTTTTCTTTTTCCCATCATGCAGCTATTTGACTTTAAAAAACAACCGTGCTCAGAAAGCATCATCTGTCACTATTCCAAATTACATAATTTTGAACAAATACTGAAAAGAGAAGACATACATAGAGAAATATAAAATACTGGACATTCCCATTTCAATAAGAGGTACAACGCCGCACACATGGGGACAGTAAGTCAAGGTTGACCTGTTACCACTGCGATGCTGTAGGACAGACCCTGTTTCTGCCACTATTGAGCTTGTTATCTGCTCCTGCGCAGTACCAGGGAAAGATGCTGTGCTGCATGGCATGCCCCAGATGGAATCTGCAGGACAGTTCTTGTGCTTTAGAAGAAATGCATTAATTTCTTTTAATACTTTTAAAATCCAAAAGGAAAGAGCAAACAGAAGAGGCAAGTGTAATAACAATTTGTCCGGTAAAGAGGAAGGCACAGGAAGCGTTGATATCAGAAATCATGATTAAGGCAGACTTTCCCTACAGCAAAATCATAGAGAATCATACAGAATGGTTTGGGTTGGAAGGGACCTTAAACATCATCTGGTTCCAACCCCCCTGCCATGGGCAGGGGACACCTTCCACTAGCCCAGGTTGCCCAAAGCCCCGTCCAACCTGGCCTTGAACACTGCCAGGGAGGGGCAGCCACAGCTTCTCTGGGGAAATGAATGCAGCTCCTTGCACTCATTTCTGCTTGGAGCACCACTTAGCTTTTCAAAAAAGTTAGTACCCCACCTCTGATCAAATTTGTCCTTCAATTCCTCTTGGCCACGCTGAAACAGAACTAGCACCTCACATCAGGTAGTCCTGCCCGAGAGAATACTTTCCATGCGCAAATTGGTAAGTCTGCCTTTCTCATATTAATACTGACCCACATTTAGTATCATCCAAATTGCACCAAGTCATACAGTGCAAATAAAACTGAGGACCCCCAGTTACTGAGACACACACATGACAGGTACCAATGGACATTTCTGCAAGCTGTGATGATGACTCTTTTAAAATCAAAACAGTTTGACTGAAAGTATCAGTACTATATACTGCTTAACAATTTCCATTTGTTTGAAACAAGAAAAACTGAGTAATTACACCTTTCTTTGCAAGGGTCAAAATGCCAGAACAGCATAACCAGTCTTCCTCTAAAATGCATCATGAATAAGGGTAATTAAAATAAACCAAAACTGGAATGTGCACCAGTGGAATTTATTATCAAAACAATTTTTAAAGCAATGAACTGTACAGAGAGATGCATTCATTTGTTAATTGCCTAGGTGACTAAAGCCTCTCCCCTCGATACATCCGATTTTGCGTCAAGACAGCTTTAGGGCCAGGTTCTCTACCAGTTCAAGTTACCACCTGCACGACTCTCACTGCCTGAACTGATCCTGGACAAAGATCCAGCCCGTAAGTATTCAGCTTTGAGCATTCTCTGAAAAACACCATTGCATACTAAAAGCAGAGTTACAGATTTATTTACAACAGCTTTCCACTATCATCAGTATCAGCCCTATAAAAACAAAACTTAAGCTCTTCCTGAATTTTTCTTCTTTAAGGAAACGTGTACACAGAGGCCACATTTCCTTCACAGAGTCTTCCTACTCAGGCACAAGCGTAGCCCGTGGCTCCCTCCTGCAGATCACAATGTACCCCTGAAAATCTAGCCCTGAGCAAGGATTGCAGAAGCAGCCCGCTTACGCAGCAGGGCAGTTACTAACAGCCTCTTCCAAACAGCAAAATAAAACCACTAATTAACAGATCAGTATATTAGCGATTAATTACTTTTTAAACTTAAAAGTTGAACACTCAATTAACCTTTATATGCTTCTGCCTGCATGCACAGAGAAGCGAAAGTTCAGAAAACCATTACCGATTTTTCCCAGTGTTTGAAATGAAGAAAGAAAGAAAGAACAGCAAACAAGTTTTTGGAAAAGTTTTATTGCATTTGTTTTCCATATGGAAGCATTGACAGATTGAAAAGATGCAGCATTCACGTTACTTCCAAAATGAGACATCCATTAAACTTCTCCTCCCCTGATTTCCCTCCCTTTCCCCCATGGCTTTGAAGCAGTCTAAACAGGTCATTTTCAAAAAAAATACCATTTTATCTTACACCAAGGAATGAAAAGATTCCTTGGAAGTCATGGACACAGCTGATCTGTATGTTTCCACTGTTTGCAATATATTTGATGAGCCCATGGGAGTCATGATCCAAAATTATAATAAAATTCCTGCCTGAACACAAGATGTCAGTTGTAATTATGAATGGTTTAGCTCTACCCGTTTCTGGAATACCTTCTGTCCCTCCCACTTTCATCACCACACAGTTCATAGCAGCATGCATGCTCCTTACCATAAATATTTCCCAATTTAAAACACACATGTATGTATGTTTACACACATACATGTGTATGCATAAATATGAGAAAAGATTTACAAAGCTCTAAACCAGGGCAATGCTAAGAATATAGAATCAATCACCCCGGTACACCTACACATCCCGTCAATATTAGTTTTTATAGTTATCTGGGCATTCATGTCAGTTTTTCACATTAACACTGTTTAGCAGGCATTGCTCTAACAAGTCATTTTCCAAGACAAACACACACAAACAAGTTGATTCTGCTATTCTAAACACTTGAAAATTAGATTTCTTTCTTTCCTGCAAGCGTAAGGCATTTAATAATCCGAAGAGTCTTCTAAATCTGCCACAGTTATCCTAAGTGGGCAACAATTTCCTGCACACAAGGGAGGGAACAGACAAAATAATGCCAGAAAGATGGAATCAGTCCTGCGGCTGGAAGGAAAAAGGAGGGTGGGTTGGGAATTGGTGTTGGCAACGTTTGTTCTAAGTATTTTAACTGTATGCGATCACCAGGTCAACTGGCTCTTTTGCTGTGTTGCATTCTCGTCTTGCACCTTTAGGTAAGTGAAGTGTCTGCTTCCCCATTCAAGTTCACTTAAGAAAGAGCAATGTGCTCCTTCAGGAAGTCCAAAGGTGTCTGTGTAGGGCTGTTGGCACTCATATGTCTTCCACAGAGCTCATCACAGTCAGGAGACAGCATGAGAATCTACTCAGAAGAGGTGGGTCACAACAGAGAAAGAGGATCCCCTTCACATTAGTTATGCCATACAGAAAGCAGAGAGAAACAAAGGCCAGTAAAGTTAACAAGATTAAAAAAAAAAAAAAAAAAAAGAAAAAAGAAAGAGGAAAAAAAAAAAAGCAGCAGCAGTTTCAGCCAGAGATATAGAATTATCTAAAACTGTGGAATACAGGGCTTTTTTTTCTCTGCAATTATCAGCCATTTAATAGACATAAAAAAAGTTTATTTTTGCTTTTTGTTTTAAACATTCATGGAAAATTTATAACAGTAGTGCTGTAATATGTTTCTATTTTAGTGGAAATGCTGGTCAAGAATTCCTCAGACCACATACTGGTACGGGTCTGCTTTTCCTTGGTCTGGTGTTGCGAATGGGCTAAGCCATGCTATAGAGAACGGATGGCCAAATACTGCTTTCATGTTCATCCATTTTGTTTTTTTAGCCCATCTTCTCTCTTCCTTTTTCAACTGTTCTATTCCCTGAAAACAGAAATATCACATTTTCAGTCAAAACACTCAGATTTTGTAGTTCTGGATTTGAGGAAAAATCTACTCTCAGTTACCCCTTATCCAAAGGATGGAGTAAGAAAATAAAAATGCATCTAGACTGCTATTCCTTTTATTCTGATTGTTTTTATATTTAAAAAAAAATATTACGGATAGGAAGTATTCCTTGGAAATAACATTACTTTTGTTTTGTTCAGGCCTAGATATTTCATAAACCTTTTAAGACCTGCCATCCAATTGCCTCTGATGTCAGTTAAAAAAAAACACCACCTAAAACCAAACAAAAAATATGTGCTTTAATGGCTGAAAGTATTATGTGCTAACCAGATGGAAAAGTTTTTAGAGGAAACCACTGTAAGCTTGCAGACAAAAAAAAAAAAACCAACCCAAAACAACCCACAAACCCGAAGATAAACTCTATAATGCTTCCAGATTCACCAAGCAAGTTCAGGAAGTGCCCATGGCTCAGTGTAGCTGAGTCTACCTGGTGCCTCTTCATGTTTCATTAGAATCACCGCTAAAACATGCAATGGGCTGACAGCAGGGAGAAAGGGTTAAATAAGATACCGATTTGAGAGAAATGATTGGCATTGTTTAGTAAAGGTTAGAGGGAGAACAAAAATAAGCCATCAAGCAATCAGCTGAAACATTCACTAGTCAATTATTAAAACAAAACAAATTATTTGTATTGTGTCTAAAACCCACAAAGTGAATTTGGTCTTTCAGGAAATGCCTGGTTGCCACAGAAGCAAAACGAACAAGTGCAGTCACTGAAGAGCATTACTCTTCCACGGGGCACAGCAGCAGGCAGATGACTCTGTTCTTTAACTTTAGATCTTTTGAAAAGTAAGCTACTCCTGACCTACGTGTGTGTCTCATGCTACGGATCACTGCACTGTAATACATCTACGTGTCTCAAATTACTGATTCTGGGAGCTCTGCAGAACACAACATGGGTCAACTGCAAGAGTTGTGCTGATCCCTGGCAAATGTCACCTCTAGAGTCAAAAGTAAAATACGATGGTTCTGTGTCCCTTCAGGCAGAAAGGAACCACCCCGGTGGGACAGTGTACACAAGATGGAGAAAGAGGTCTCCCAGTGACTGGAAGAGAAAGGTGAGAAAGGGCAAGACGTAGCCCCTGTCTCTAAAACGTGGAGTAAAGCACTGCAAGAGACCATGCCAGGAAGAATTTCACCTGGAAATACTCTGCTCAAAATACGCTGCTTTCCGGACACAGCTCGCTCAATGCTAGCAAATCAACGAGACGTTCTACAGAGCAAAATCCTTACATACATATTAAAAAAGAAACAAAAATGAAAACCCACAACCCAACAGGGGGAGAACATATTCCATTTTCTATTTTAAACTGTGCCACTGTTCCTTTAACATCTCTGAGTTCCCAGAAGTTGAAAGGAATGGAAAAGTGGGGGACTTATTTGGGTGCCCAGCTGTAGGAAGCAGCTTCTAAAAATTGTTGATAGGTTTCAAAGACTGAGAAATTCAGATGATGAACTCACAGGCAACATTGCTAATTTACACACTTATTGATAAACTCAAGCTCAGCAGGTTTGTTCTGTATGACACTGCACTTCTTCCTGGGGCTCACCCCAGCAGAAAGAACAGCTGAAGTCTTCCCCTGAACACAGAAAAGCCACAGTGTAAACATCAGCCTCTTGCAGAAGCCAAGCTTTAAAAAAAAGTGTTGCAAAAAAGATTCGGGAGCAATGGGCTCTTACAGTCAATAATGCCAGTCATAGCTCTCCAATGGCAGCAAAAGTACCTATTTTAGTTTCAACTGGCCATGGGCAAACAAGTGAAGGGGAAAGAAAGGCAGGGGAGGAAATGAGTTGGCACCCTTTTAAGACTCTCTCTTCTCTCCAACCACTCCAGTTAATTCAGGTATCTGAGCATGCTTGGTGAAGGCTGGCAGTATTCCCAAGTGTGGGAACATCCCCGGGAGTCACCAGCTCCATCTCTACACAAGTGGGCAAATGCAGGGATATACGACGGTCTGCAACACTATTATGTAACCTCCACTGTGCCATCTCTGAACTGGGGGCGACATGGTGACTCTGCAGCAGACTGTACTCAGCAGGTTTCCATAAGCCTACTCCACTCCCTTTTCTTTTTCCCTCCAGCAAGAGTTTTTGAACTGTTTAACAAGCAGCTAAAATTGGAAATCTTCTAGACTAAGAAGTGTGTGTGTGTTTATATCCATCCCACACCTACTCATCTTGGCTTTCCAGCACGTAAAGCTGTAAATAGTGACACCAGGGGACACACAGCTGAATTTCAGACAATACCAATGTAAAAGCACTTAATTAAAGGAAAACGGTTCTCGAATCCACCGGGATAAACCCTCTCTACAGAGTAATCCTGGTTACCAATGCCTGCCTTATCAGAGGTACTGTCATCACAGCATCCCAGCCAATACCTAAGTGCATGCTACTTCTCACAGTAACCTTCAGAGAGCACAACCCAGCACTGTGCCAGCTCAGTTATTACCTTGGATCTTTCCTCAAAGGGGACACATACATGAACTCCCCATGCAAGGAGGTAAAACCCTGTGGCCCTTCACTGTTTCTACAAATGGTGAGAGACAGGAAAAAGGAGAGAGCATGTGAGGCACTCACCGTTTCATCAGTGCAGATAGAGTGTACTTGGGTCCCAAACATAACTGAGGTGAAGATGAGAAATAGGAGAGCCTCGAAACACAAGAGGATGAGAAGAATCACTGTAGTTGGTGGAGAGAAGGAACTGCATTCTGTGAAGACAAAACAATGGAGTTGGCAGGAGAGAGATCAGGTAATGCAGCAGCTGAGAAACCTGCTAAGCCACGAGTTTCCAAAACTCAGACAGTCAAAATAAATTATATGAACAACATTCTCAAAAAGGTGCATAGGGAAGATTTGACATTCGTGAGGATATTCAACAGTGAAACGATCACTCCAAGTTTAAAAAAAAGCAAAACCAGTAAAACCCCTTCAACACTTCAAGAATGCAACTTTCTTTTCCACTTTAGTGTTTCCCCAGTACACTGGCTAGGACTTCACTCTACTCCATTTCACCTGTAGCTTCTCTCTGTAACTTTAATCTTAACGGATTTTCCGAAGTGATACAGTCCATTAGAAATCTCAAGCTGGTGGTCAGGACACAAGGATAATTATTTCTGTAGTACCAACATAAAAGCAGAGTATGCATCCTTTCTTAAGTATGCTCTAAGTCATAACCTAAAGAAGGTCAGGTTAAACAAAATTCTTATTTTTCCTCATGCTCTATAGTACAAACTCAAGCAAGAGCTGAAAAAAAAAATCTGAGAAGGAGCAGAAGAAAGGAAGGAAAATGTTATTAGGGCAAAAATCACAGTGTTGAGTGTTGTCAGAATATCTCCAGATTTTTCTGAAATCCAAGAATGAGTATCACAAAAAAAACCCTATTTTTCCCATGAGATGTTAAGATTTTACAGATACATCGTAATAAGGGGCTACCACATCAGCACAAATCCAAGGCAGCTGCAACAACAGATCCATCTCTCTTAACAGCTTTGTTCTGTGACCTAAACTTGGGACAGGTGGGAAAGTGCTTCCCCCACAGACACAGGCTCTGAAAAAGGGGGCAAAGGAAACTATCTTTTGATGTATCCTTCCCCTATGGCCCTGGCCACTGTACTCAAATCTAGATGTTCTCAGGCTGACAGTTGTTTTACAAAGTTTTGAAGTGCAGAAGAACTTTGTCAAATTCCGTTCATATGTGTAAATGTACCCATCCTCTGCAGTATTATAAACTAAAACCGGTCATTATATTGAATGACACATTAAAATTCCAAGAAAAAACTAAGCTAATGATCTTCCAAGAAATCCACAAACAGCACATACCTCTCCACACACATTCTTTTGACAGCTTGCTGTTTGTCTCAGCATTACCTGGAGGATTTCCTATATCCATTTGTGTTTTTAAAAACACATCTCAACTGTCTTTGTGAAAATTTACTCATTGGCTGCTCCAGAGCAAGGGCTGGGTTTTTTAATTGGTTTGTTGGGTGTTTGGGTTTTTTAATGGAAAGGAATTGCTTGTTCTTGTGAGGGTAGAGTTTTGGATCTGAGTTAGCATGTTTTCCTGGCAATCTTGCAAGAATGATTCATATTACTCTTTTAAAAAAAAGCATACACATTCTTATCTTGTGTTGGCATTCAGAAAATTATCTGTGTTCAAGTCAACAGTAGGTTATTGCACACATACTATCCATCTGTCTTTACATCTCAGCTTCTCCCTAGGCAGTACCAGGCTTAAATTGAAATGGGACTTTTCAGGACAGAGATCCCAGCAGGTCAGAAGGAATTATGAAGTTCCAGGACTGATCATAAAAAAAAAAATATTGAGATAGCATAGCCCTGATAGCATTCTTCTGAAACCAGCATAAAAAGGGTTGCCTTACAAGCAAACTGTAAGATCTTATTCCTAGGCTATTCTGATATTTTAATTAGGTATTTTGTTAGTACTCACTTGTCCAGTCTTCTTCAAAGCAATACAAGAAGTGAAATCCCACCATGATTAGAGCATGCAGAGAAATCAGTGCTATATACATCTGAAAAACAAAGAATATAGTATAGGTATCAGGTAAAAGACTACAATGCTAAATCTTCTAAACACTTCAAATAAAGTAAAGTGTTAAGACTTCAGAAAAAAAAAAACCAAACAACTAAACCCAAACCACAAACCATATCAAAACCCAAGCCCTCCCAAGCCCCGTAAACAAGCACTCTGAAGCTGGCGAATGCCAAGACTACATGGATTCATTCTGGCCTTACTAACAGCTCTGAGAGAACAGGAAGGAGACTCCTTAATTCGAAGCCAGCTGGCCATAAAACCTAGGGTCCTGTGTCTCAGCACCACTTTCCACAGAGCTTACTGTGCTTATCTCTGCCGACTACAGCACAACTTTCAGAAAACAGCAACACTCTGACATCGAGGTATAATGTTGTCAAAGCTTATATCCTTGCTCTTGAGAGCACTACAGGTTCCCAGAGAAACAACAGCTAATTTGTTTTAGCCACAAAATGCACTTTATCTCCTTTCTAGCATGAGTTTCAGGAAAATGTTTTTGTTTTTAATAAGTACTTTCCCCTGAGGCAGACACCAGCATGGAAAGTTCCTCTCAAGCTTTAATGCTTCATACTTAATCCTTTTTGTTTTAAATTAGGTCTCAGCTGTGTAACAAAAAGCTTTAAACTATAAGCAATGCTACACATACACTACAATTTACCCAGACAGGGCTAAAAAAGATGATTCTCCTGAACCTACAGAGTCTGACAAAGATCGGCTGATACTAGAAGTGAGAGATATTTTGTTACCAGAAACCTCTGTGGAAGCAGTAAAGGTGATGGGAGAGCATTTTGGTTTTCCTTTCAAGTTGAGCATGCTGACTTTCTTTCACCTCCACAGGTCTCAAAAAGAATTACAAAAAAGAAAACCAGCAACCCTTATTTTGTTTTTCTCAACTACATCAAGTGTTTAATACAGCCTGATTGAAAGTAGATGTCAGTTTTAACAGAAATCCTTTTGATAGAATTAAAACACCTAGCTCACTCCTTATAGTGAGAAAACTCTCACTCAAGGGAAGAAAACAGGATTCATTTTGTTCCGTAATCCACATCCTAACAAACCTCACCAGAGAACAGTAAGCCTTTCCATTTGACTGAAAATCTCCCCCTTGTTACTTGGCAATATGAGAACATTCTTCCTCAAACCTACAGATGTCTCAAAAGATTTATTAATAAAACAGAGCATCACTAAAACTGAGCCTTGTAATCTTCACGCTACTCCCACAGAATATTTACAGTTTGCTTTGATGAAACAGATTTCAACCCTTCCAGAAATATGTAGCATTCAAGTTTGCACTCCCATTTTCTTACTCATGATGCCACAGATATAGTACAAAAAGTCAAACACCTCCTTGGTTTTCAAGTACAAAAATAAACTACTTGCAAGTAAAAGGTGGATAATTCTTGCCAAAGGGGATGCAGACTTCCTATTCCTCGCTTAAGATGTGGCCACAGCTCTTATTATATGACCCCACACAGGTACTCATACAACTACAACATTTAGGAACCTTACATATGGCCTGGGATCCTACCAGCCACAGTATCGTGTAAAAGGATGGCCCACGCCTCAAAAAGCTCAACACCACAATAAACTACTCAAATTATGAAATAGGTGCTGAACACTATCAACACAAACCTCACAAAACCCTGGCAAATAGTTCCTGTGATGCCATTTCCTGTTGTTGTCTAGTGTGTGTCTCCCTAATTAGTGAAACAGAAGTCTGCAACAGTTCCCAGTGAAGTTCTTCTGAAACCGGAAAGAAGAGAAAGCCAGTCTTTGGAGCTGCTTCACACAGTCTACATACAGGATTTCAGCGCTGCCCACTGGACAACCTCTAACACCACTTGCAAAATACTTACTGTAAACAGTACAAAGTACTTCTGGTTATTCTCTCCTACACAGTTATTGACCCATGGGCAGTGATGGTCCATTTTCCGAATACATCTCTTGCAAACACTGAAAGAATACAGGTCTTTATTTATAGCACGTTTCATTCCAGGAACACAAGATTTCATAGGGACTTGGGGGGACACAGAAATTAAAGGAAATAATCAGAGGTGAAATTCGAACCTAAATATATCTACTGGTCACCACATTTATATTTGTGCTTTGCTCACTTGAGCAAGTCTGTTCAAAATGAATCATACAATCCCAAATCACCATTGTAAAAAATTAATGCCAAGTAAGACACCTTAGCATAATACCCATATCAGTGGTTCTGCCAAAATATGGTTTGAACAATACATTCAGGCAGATGGGAAAAAAATCTTAGTTTAGTTTTAACCTATTCAGTCTGTGAAAACATCCATAGATTAAAACCAAACAAAAACCCGGAAGATATGAAAAGCAGTAATGAATAAAGATATTTCTCAGAGTTGGTAATAACAGACTAAGGTTTATTTATCAACATTGGCTGGTAGCAGGAACTTGTAAAAAAAAAAATAAAATTAAATAAAGCACTAGAAAAGATTCTTGACATCAAGATAAACTACATACTAGCATAAACCAGCTGTGGCAGTCAATTAGGAAGACAGTACCACAATATACATTCAACGTAAAATTAGATGTTAAAGCACTTCACAAAACCAGACTAATAAAATCAAAATTCAAATTCTTGCCAGCATGCATATTGTGGCTAGAAGTCAAATAATTAAAAGATTATTACTTTGTCTGAACATCATTCTCTTTCTCAGTCAGTAACTGCTACAACTCACTAATAAAGGAAGTCTTTTTCTCTGTTGCTTTCTCATATGATAGGAGACAAAAGGCAGTCTCCTGATACCACATTGCACAAACAAGCACAGAAATCAAATATGAAAAAACACAAAACCCCAAGACAAACAAACAATAGCCCAAGAAAGGAAACAGCCATCCCAGAAAAATTCCGGCAGAATTGAAACAGAAAAGGTCAAGGGCTCTGCTAATTTTATTTTTCTTCTTCTAACAAAAAAATATTTTGGCCTTAATATAAACAATAAACTTCAACACCCAAATGCTTAAGGGGAATTCAAATGATAACAAATACATTCTTATGAGCATGTATGAATAAATAATAGAAAACTTCTCTGTAAGAACAGCCTTGCACTCACTCTGCATGATGGGAGGGGGAAATCCCCAAGGGTACATGCCATGCCTGAAAAACAAATGAGTTGCTATAGGCCTGATCCTAAACGAAAGGTTGGCCAGGCAGGCCCCAGCCTCCCAGCAGACGAGGAGCTGCTCCTACCAGTCCCAGGTGCAGTGGAAAACAAGAAAAGCCTCGTTTTGCTAGAATAAGCAGATTGAAATGATTTTTGAGCTAAATGAGGACTAAAATCAGCTGGCACAGTACAAACAATTTATCTGTCAGATAACGTCATACTTCATACTGATTTTTTTTTTTTTTTTTTTAAAAAAGGTGTGGGGGGGAAGGAGGCGGGGCAGGTGGTGTAAAGCAGTAAGATGCCTCCCTGTGGTTTAATTTACTGCGTGCAGAGGCGCACACGTTTCCCTGGGGCTCTGAAACAGGTACCTACACAAGCAACTCCTCCAATCACTCCTGGGTCCTAGTTCCCCAGAGGGACAACCTGAAGCAGACGAGCCAAAGAAGAGCTCCATGAAGGAGGCAGCTAAGGATGAGAGGAGACATTTTATTCCATGCATATGTACCAAAAGCAGTTGGATGACAGGCAGACCATGAAACTAGCTGGTGGAAAAGGAAACACAGACACTAAGACTGAAAACTATAGACAACAGGGATTATCCATACTCGACACTCTCCTCCTGATCAACCACTCTGTTTCCAAATGCTGGCATGAGTTTTGCTGGGCATGGGGGACTCACAAAATAGCATATGAATCAAAAAGCACTCTGGCTCCTCAAACATACAACTAGCACTATCACTTTGCTGATGCACATGCACTGCCTTGATGTGTTAAAGTCCAATAAATCCCCTGATCCCACAAAAAATGTTTGACTGAAGATTCTCATCAGCATCAGTGCTCAGAGGATCAGTTTCCCAAACCTTAGCGTCTAAAAAGTTATCTTAAAGCACAGAAAAAAGGACCATGGAGATTGAGGTTTTGTGTTTACCCAAACAGTCTTTTTCATTTACCTACACTGTGAGCCACCAGCAAGACAGCATTTTAGATGCAAAGTTTCATTCATAATTGAAGAAGTGTCAGAGGGGATTTTACAGTAGCATAATAAGTGATAGGCATGATCGCACTGCTCCTGCTCAATAACCAACTCCTGATTTTGATTAAAATAAAAAACAAAAAAGAAAACCATTTGCAAACTAAAACTCTGCAAATAAATATGAAAAATGCAAACAGCAGAACAAGTTTGTCCAGCTCAGTACCACTTAATTCCCTCTCACAAGATCCCTGCATGAATTAACAATAACCCTGATACGAGCTCTCTCAGTACGTATTGTTTTTTGAGTAGGTAAGGAAGGGACACCAGTGTAAACTTGTTAACTACTTACTGGAAAGCAGGTTTGCTTGCTTTAAAAGCAGAAGAGAATTTTAGGAATTAGTTATTGATTTGTTCACTGCCTTTAGTACTAAAAAGCTCACTACCAGATACTCTCTTTAGGGGAAGTTTATCCTACCAGAAAAAGAAAGGACATGACAGATCAGTAGGCATACTGATCTATCACAAAGCATGAAACAAAGTCACAGTACTCAGTGAAAAGATGGAAGTCTAAAATCAAAAAATACATAGTTACCTGAACTTTAGTTTTAACTTAAATAGCACTTCTAAATAGAATATAAAGTTAGACAAATGAGTCTGTGAATAAAAACAAAAATAGAAAGCTCACCGACCTTTTGAGACACATTTCATAGATTTCTATGTATTCTGGTATATAATGTCTCTTTTAAAGTCATATTTACACAAAAATTTATGTCAATTACAGTTCTGGAGTCAAGGCAGCATTCATTTTAAGTGGTTCTCAGTTTTCAAGAATTGGTCCCAGTCTGCTATAGATGAAAACTTGTCAGAAAAGGCCTGAGATTTTTTCAGAGAAACTCAAACATGTCTGGCACTGTTGACAACAGAATTGGGATGCCAGTCTCTCAGTTTAACCACTTCAGTCTCAGACTCCAGTAATAATTTAGATCAGGGACCACTGGATGATTCTTGAGGTCTCGATAAAAGATCAGTCCTCAGAAAAGACCTTACCTGCAGTGATGTGCTCTGTCAGGTTTGATGCTACAACACTTTGGGCACTTGTAAACCACCTGTCCTGGCTTTAGCTGTAAACTCTCGATGAACTCCTTTGTGGCATTACCTTTGGGTACAGCACCCTGCAGAAAAAAAACACCCCAAACCAGAAGATTAACCTGTGGACATTATGAATGCTAAGAAAAATAGGATGACATAAAACTATGGGAGGGGAGGAAGAGAAAGAAATAAAAACTTCCCTGAGATCAACAGTTTCAGGAAGAGCAAGATGATTCAGAAAAGAAATTAAAATGAGGTCATAATACATGGAACCACATACTTAAATGTAATTTTAGTGTGGCTTTTTTTAAACATCAGCAAATCCTTACTTAAGTAATTAGTCTTTTGTAATCCTATAGTAACTTTAAAATATTTAAGAATCCTCTCTTCACATCTATCAACATATTTATCATGCCAGTGTTTCATATCACAAACTGCAAACTGCAGGTATCTTGTTCCAGTAGAGCAGCTACTATAGTAGTATCATTGTGTACACTAAGAGTTGCCGGTAAATGCCTCATATATTTATAGCTATGCTTCCATTGTGTATTTCTTATTTAAATTAGGGTTTAACACTCAAACAGTGAACACTAAGAATCCTCCCACCTGAATAAGACTAGATAAAACATTCTTAGCTGTGCAGTTTCACCTTAAATTATGTGTCTTTAAACAGCTGCTGCAGGAGCCTGAGTTCAAGAGTTTCCAGCCTTTCTAGGGCCATAAATTTGCTCAAAAACCCCACCAAAACTAAAGAGAGTCATAAAATGTGTCATGTGAAATCAGTGCTGGTACACTGGCAGAAATGCACCTCTGCGGATGTAAGGCTTTTATATTGAAATAAAAACAGGGATGTGGTATTTTAACAGATTGCTAATGAAACAGTTCTCTTTTTTACACAATTATACAACCTCCTAACAGCAATAAACAGGAATAACACACATAAATGAGAAGTGCACACTAAACCAGTACTATAAGGCTTTCTTGAGCGGTCTTTGGGTTTTTCGACACAAACCTCCCAACAGGCTTGACCAATTTAAAAATTACCAAGACCAATGTTCTCTCTCTTTAGTATACTACAAAGCTCAAAACCTTAGGAATGTTTTGAACAAGAACCCACAGGAAACAGTTTCTGAAAAGCATGACACATGCTATCAATTCTGAAGAATTCAGGTGTTCATTTTTTTATAGTAAGTATTCTATTTGTTTGCCTCAACAGTGCTTTCTGTTTCATTCTGATCCTAGACATGTCCCTGGTTCCCCACATCCCGGCAGCTTCCTTCATCCCTGACTAACGCTGTCTGCCAGATGTTGCTGTATCCCCTCACTTTATCGTCCCTCCTCCATTTTGTTTAGCTGATTTCCTCATAAAAAAAACCCAAACCAAACCAAAGTCCTATGGGCTCTCACCATACACACAAATAAATCCTACCACACACTAAGAAGTAACATATCTTTTCCCAATAACTCTGCATAGAGATTGTATCTGCTTCTCCAACACTGCTTGCCCAGCCTGCTTCAGAATACAGCTTTTGTTTCAGAAGAGTTCCTGCTAACTCTGCAAAATAATTCCAGTGACCTGAAGGTCCCTAGGCATTAAAGCCACACAACATACAGTAATTAACAACAACAAGAACCCCTAGGATACAAACTATATAACAAATTGCTGCAACCTCTAATCCCAAATCCAATGACCAGAAGTTTCAGAACCTCAACTACTGCTTACAGTTCTGCCCAGCAGCAGTAGCGTGCAATTCATCACTTTTTACCAAATCAAGCCATTTCTGCACTGCTGTGGCTTCTTGGAGAGCTTCAAACTATGAAACAAAGATTACACTGGAGCTTTAATGGTACCTAACAAGTTTTCAAGTAGGAAGTAACATTTGGAAGGAATAATTACAAGTATCAGAGGCACACCGCCTTTCCCAACAGCACCAAGAACACTCAGGAGAAAGGGGCCAAGAGGAGTCTAAGCTTGTTTTTCCTTCCACTGACTAGTGCAGAGTCAGTTTTGAACTGAATCTACTGTCCACAGGTTATTAAGCAAAATAAACCATCACAGGCCACTCAAAATAAGCATCATGGTGTTAAACTGTACTGTCTCACTAGCTGGAAATTACAAGAAAGCAGCAAACCAGATCTCTCTCAAAGCAATGTCCTATGGAGACATAGAAGAGGGTCTTACGACTCTGATGCTCCCCACTTGCGTAAGAACTGTCAGCTCTTAGCGTGCTCATGTGATACTTACTTCAGCATGGTCCAATACACTCAACTAAATCATTACTATGAGATGGTTAGCATGGCTTTTCAAAACACCACCCATTCTGCTCCATTCTGCTGAAGCAGTACTTGCCAAGGCAGACAACTAAAACCAGCTTTTCCAGCTTTCCTGTTTGTCAAGACACGACAAGCCACAAACACGAGATCTGCCACATGGAGAAAACAGCATCTGAGAGGAACACTCTCCTTCCCAGTGCAAAAAGAGGAGCTGCTCACACAATGGGAATCTAAAGCTGGGTCCTTGACTTTGCATCTGACTTGAGTGGGATGAGAAATTAGCATACCACATCAGCAGCCTCACTCAGCAGGCTGACACATAAAAGTTATTTAAATCTGCCACTCACTCAGCAACTGAGTTATCCAACATCTAGCAGACAAGAAAAACACTGCCTGTTTCTTTCCGAGACATACAGAGAGAGATATACTTACTGGATCTGTCAGCATAGCACGAAAATGTGAAGCCAAAGCGAGGAAAGCCAAGGTGTTGAACAGTGTGCCATTGATGACACTATAAACATAATCTCTTGATGGAACTAGCATGACAAGAAGGACTACAAAGTCGGCATAGAACACCAGCATCCAGGTAACGACAGCACATGCAATACCACAGCCATCTCGAATAAACCACATTGTTCCCAGGGAAGTGCGGCTAGGAGGTGGAACACACTTTTCTGGCTGGAGGTATTCAGGTTTCCTTTCAATATCTCTGAAGCGGTGGACTGGAGTAATCATCATAGGCTATTATGTCCATACTTGCATCTGAAAGAGAGTCAGAAACAGTGTTCACTACTTTGCAAGACACGTAGACCTCCGTTTGCATAACGGCATGGGGATCGTGTGGGAAATTCCAAACTGCAGAAAGTGAGTTGAAGAAAGTAATAAAGATAAATAAATCAAACTCAAAATAATGGATTTGGAAACCAGACTCGCGCTTATTAGAACACTTCTTACTCAGAAGACTAAGTGCTTTTAAGACTTGCTTAAATACACATTAAATCCACTGGTGTACCACGTCCACTTCCCCCTCAAGGAAAGGCAACAAGTGTTTTAATTAAAAGAAAGCGATCAGGTAGGTGCCAACAGGAGCTGCCACAGCAGGAACTGAAGCAAGAACCAAACACTGTCATGTGAGCTAAAAAAGGAAAGACCTGGCATAGCTGGCAGGGTCCCTTTTTGCTCCCTCAGACGTGGGGAAGGGAAGGGTCTCTCCTACAGATAGTGGAAAGCTTTGCAAGTGGAAGAGGTTTCCTTTCTCCTTAGCCACTGACCCACAGCTTTGGGGTAAAAGTGCAAAAACAAACCCCTGCGAAGTTACAGTGGCAGAAACTGCTGAAGAAGTAACACAGGCAAAGATCTTGACAAGAATTTCTAGTCTGGGCTGGAGGATGCTCTTCCTGAACAGTGGCTGTCTCCCACTGTCACCTCCTGTGGCCTTATATCCCTTGTAAGTTTTCTGCTTTGCCACGCTTCTCTCAACATCTTTGTCCGCCAATGGTGTTTGTTTTAATCCCCTTCAGCACTTCTAGCTAACTCCACTCCACTCTAATTAGGGCACTAACATGACATTTGCTGTCATTGCCCTGTCCTCTCCGTCTCTGCAGGCACCTTGTCTACCCAGAGGGTAAGGTCCATCTTGGAGTCTAAAACTGTACTACTCCAGGCATGCACAGCCCTTTCAATGTAACTCCAACCAAACGTAGGCACTTGTGGAAACAAAAAAGGTGCTCGTAAGACTTTGGCACGGGATGAATAAATCTGCACTGTGAACATATGCCACTCAACGTTAGAGCACACCTGGAATGCTACGCTTTGAAAGCAGCTCTTTACACACCCAGCAACTTCTCCCAAAGACACTTCTTAAAAGGATATTTGCACAACGCTCTAAGCACTCAAAAACAATACAATCTCTATATAAAGACCCAACTTCTACAAAAACAGATGCAATAATTTTGCTACCAAATACACTGAATTGCATCTACCTAAACAGAAGGGTTCAGCTTATTTCAACATGGAAGGATTATTCTCATTTCTTTGCAAAAAGAGTGCATTCCATTTTAATTCAGAGAAAGGGAGACAATGTTTGCCATTAATTATGTTTTCTGCCAAGAGTTCATACTGAACTATTTTTGTGTTTAATTGTTAAAAAAGTGACACTTTTACCTATACAAAATGGATAAATTTTACAGAAAGCAGCCAGAGGATCACAAAGATACTTATGAACTTAAACTTGTCTCAAAACTTTTATGGCTATGTCAAGTACAAAAAGAAAGCTCTATTCTGCATAACACCAACCTAAACTGAGATGCTAATGCCCCTCCCTGGAAAGGGAAGGAGATAATAGTTTGCTTTCTAGTTATTTCAAGAGGACCAAATTCATAAGAGGAGAATTAGTCTCTCACAGCCAAAGATTAAGGTTACTAACGAGCAAAATGATTAATTAAATCCAAGCACAGAAGTGATGAGCTTGTGCATGTTAGCACGAGTGATATGGAAAAGAAGTGGCTGGACCTACTATTGCCACAGTGAGAGGCAAAAGCCAGGAGCACAAAGTTTCAAGGTGTACAGCAGTAGATGAACCAGACTATTAACAATATTTGTTTTCTAACATAACTGGTATAAATAAAACAGGAAATCGGTTATTTTCTTATATTTCTGCTTTTAGCACTCAGTATTTTGCAAGTGAGAGAGTTTAAGATGTTTTATGAGTCTGAAAAAAGTCACACAAACTAATGGTAAAGTGTATCAGTCTCATATTTATACATACATCACACAGAACAGAAAAAAACAAGATAAAAATGCACATGTATGGATCTCACTTACTTTGGCAAGACAAAAACTCTCCTTCTCATTCACAAAATTCACATACCACATTGTAATTGCTTTGTACTTTAACCACAGCTATAATTTAGCCTCATGACTCCTGATACTTAGGGAGACAAGCTATATAATTTTCAGAAACAGTGATTACCCAAACAGTCTAGTGGTCTAAGTTCAGATATATCTATAGCTACTAGCAAACCCATATCTCTTCCCAGTTTTTCACAGTTTCTGTAAGGATGTTTATGTATTCACACATTCACAAACTGAACAAGTATTTTAAAGACTCAATCTCTCCCCCAAGGAAACAGGTTAACCTTTATTGCATAATTTAATAATCTTATTAAAATTGTTATGCTGGTTTGCCAAGTCAAAATAAAGCTGACATAATTAAAGACTCATGCCTGACAAAAGTCTTTAGTTGACAGTAACATCATATTGCATTAAAAAAGTAAGAAAGCAAACAGTAATTTAGGTGTTGATTTTCAAATGGACGTTTTACACTTAACACATCAGGTGCAGTAACAAGCTGGAATAGTCCTGAACACACACTTTCAGGGTTTTTTGCACAGACTTTGAGCCTTTTTTTTTTTTTTTTTTTCCAAAGCAATGAAACTGTCACAGGAAAAGCAAAGTCTTATTTAACTGAGGAATTAGTTTGTCAAGTCACCTTAAGGTCAGTATTAGCAGAGACTGACTGAAAGCTAGACAAATACTCAGTGATTAAAACTGTGGGTTTAGTCCTGAAGAGCACACTTTAGGAGTCAAATAAAAATTCATCTCTCATAAATGCAGGAAGTGGTTTCACACCAGTAAGAGTTCTACACCTCTCCCTCAGAAATATTATTGAGCTAAATGGAAAAGAAAAAACAATAGAAAAAAAAAAAGTAAGCTATTGCCATGTAACTGTTTAAGGAGAAACTGGAAAGAGCCTTAAGGCACCTCAGTCTGAAAGTCTGGGGACTCTTTTCTGCAGTGCAGTAATAAAGTGTTTAAGAGGATAGAGCACAGGCCTCCAATTCTGACTTCTGGCTAGAGGACAAATTTGTTATTTAATGCACTTTGTTATTTAATACTTGCTTTACAGGCATCATCAGGCAAAAAGACGAAAAATCAGTGATCAGTAAATAAACACCATTATTTGAGCAACAGATGTATGGTTTAGTGTACATTATCTTAAGTCATAGGAGCTTAGAGTCTCAGCTTCTCTTCTATGTGACCCAGTTAGTTGTTCTTAACGTACACAAACATCTGGTTTTATGTTGTCCAACCTGGTATTTTCATGTAAACAAGAAAAAAAAGATTGTAGTGGGGATGAAGCAGTAACTTGCCCTAACTGGTCTGTCCTTCAATCATGCTGCAGATGAACTTATTTTATAACACAGAGGTGGAATATATCAGTCCCTCCCACTCTGTAGCAAACAATACATAAACAATGAAGGCAAAGGGCTTAAGGACTTAATCACGGTGTCAAACTACCAGAGAGGCCACTAGGTAAGTGCGAGACACAAAGACAACACACACATCAATTTATCTAAACTACATGTCAGAGTAAAGACCTTTTCTTCTTTTTTATCTGGAAGGCATTTGGCATTATGGGAGTAAACAAACAAAGAAAGGTAATATACACATTAGATGTAAATAAAACAAATTAAAACCCACTTCCTGCTACCATGAACTAGTAAAATATGTTATTACACCCTACATAAATTAACTGCCTTTTGACCTGCCATAAGCCATGTCAAAAAATCTACTTTTTGTGACCACCAAATAATGCATTAAGAATGAACGATGTGGGCCTTCACCCAATGTGTACCTGAAAGCTACCTGAGGTTCTGATGTCATAAAACTTACACCAAACAATGTCATCATCATCACCCTGCTGATTTTCATTAAATTAGCCATGCTAGTGAAGTCAGGCACATGGGTGCTTGCAAAACTACAGTATTACTATGTACATTGCAACCAGTTCCTCCATTAGAAGTCCATTAACATTAAACTTTGGGAAGAGGCTACGTTTTGTCATATGAATTAAGTGAATTTCAAGTTCTGCCAATTACATGAAAACAATTCTAAAAAAAAACCAACCCTCCCCAAAAAAAACAAACCACCCAACAAAAAAAAACAGAATGAGACCAGGGCAGATTATGGGCACTTTTTGAGCTTTTCAGTTTTTATATACTTTGAAGAGATACTTTGGAAGAGCTTTTATGACACGCACAGAATTCACTGCCAGTATTTGGAGAGCTGACAAACAACACTAAAGTTAACTTTTTATCGTGATCAAAAGGAAGCAAACATACATAACCAGTCATGTTATATTCATGACAGCTAAACTAGGCGATCCAGATCCACAGGACAGGATGTCCCTTTAAATAAAACCAAACTCCAGATAGATAGATAGAAACTGCAAGAGAGGTAATTTTGAAGGTTTTTTTCATTTTTCTGTACATCAAACTGCATTGATTAAAACACTGCATATTTAATCATCCTTTGCAACAAAAATGAGAAAAAGCATGTTTCTAACAGGATATTTACCTGTGCTTCTCCTGCTACACTTTCACACAGCTCAAATCTAACAACATGCCTGTCAAAACTTGCCAAAGCAAGTTTTAGCAGGGATAATAAGGAAATATCAGCATTCATATATTTTTTTTCATCTATTTTAGGCTCCTGCAAGGCCTAAAAAGCTTTATCTGATCAGCAGGAGTGGAACAAAACAGCCCAGCTATGCTGAGAATTTCTGGCAGTCTCCTGCAGATTCATCCAGATATCCATTAGCGGAGCAGTTTCCAACCCCGGGTTTGCAAAATCCTGGAGGGTCAATGGGACATTTCTAACAAGTCTGTGAAAGGCAGCTAAAAAAAGCAAGCCTATTATTAGCAGGCTTAAATTTTATATAAGAGAGCTGTACTTCCATTGGAATATTTTTGGGACTCCACACATGCTTAAAGAAAATCCAACCCAAACAAACAAACCCAACTCCAATCCAAACCCCCAAATAGGTCAAAAACTGCTCCTCTCCAGTTAAAATGGCAAAAGCAATAGGGAAGGATCAGGCACGGAGCTTAACGCTGCATTTATGGGACACCTGATGACTCAGATCAAAATGTCACAAGGCAAAGTCAGTACTGCTAGCCCTACTCCAGCCACCCCAGGAGCAGGATTATGCCTAGTGCAGATAATTGTTCATCTTTCTTCTGGAAATTAGGCCACATTAAGAAGAGTGTCAGCCTACCTAGTACATTATCAGCTACGTGTTTGCTTTTAGCAAGAGGCTTACAAAAATCTCAGATTCCCCTGAAACCTTTGACTACTGAAGTCATGCAATTTCAACAGTTTCAGTTCACATACTAAAGAAAAATGGCATAAAGAAATCCAAATGTGAATTAAATCCATTAAAAATAATCTTTACAATTAAAAATCTTAAAACAAATGTGTGTTTTCTCAGGCTGAATGCACAGGCTTGGATTACCTGCCTTGGGAAAGGGAAAAGACAACACAGAAAACCAGATGGTTACCCAGTTATAACAGTTTTCTATACATGAAGGGAATAAACAGCTCTATTGCAATGCTGCTTTATAGTCACAGTTTAGAAAACTCTCTACATTATTCACTATTTTGATGAATCATGAGAAATTAACTTTTATTTTTAGTTTGTTATTTTGAAGAGGCCATGCATGAACAAGACCTTAGTAAAAATGGATCACACTACAATCATATTTTTATTATTTTTATTAGAAGCATCTTATTAGAGGGGAAGATTTAATTGAAGTCGTGCACTTCTGAAGAATACATTTGAACAGGAGTATGAATACAAAGAGGAAACTTCTCCCTAAAGAGAGCAGGGGAAAGTGGAAATTACCCCAAAGACATCTGTCAGATCTAGAAACTCCATCCTGAGGGCCTGGATCAGGCTGAGAGTGACAGGCTCAAAAGAGGTGCAGCCACATAAGGCACAAATCCCACATTTCTCCTCTCATTTACATCAGCGTAAACAAGAAGCAACTTCAACATGGCCAAAGGAATTCTATTATTAGAACTGTAAAGAAAATAAGGCCACATTTTCTCAGCGAAAAACATGGTATTTTCCTATCCTAACGTTTGCGGTACAGAATCTCCCAGGACAGATGGTAACAGCTTCCTGGTTAATGTCTATAACGTTTCTGTTTAACTAGTTGTGGTGGTGCAATTCTTACCCCTCCCCACCCCTCCTTGTTGGTCTGCTTGGTGCTAGGTGCGATTCCCCCACTATCCCCTAAGCTATACACCAATCCGTGGAGATAAGGACTGCTAACTTTAAGGCCCCCCCTTAATGAGCCTGGCTCCTGCCCCTCCCGATTGCTTGAAAACAGTTAAAACAGCCCATCATCTCCTAATGCCTGGCACACCTGTGCCAGGGATGTGGTCAAATGGGAACAATAACAGAGTTGCGCATTCATCAAGTTCTTGTGCAACTGCTGGAAGGCACCAGAATACTTCACTGTTCGTATCTGACAAAAGTCAATTATCTTGGACCCTATAAATTGCGACCACAAGGGAGACCCTTTGAGCTCTCCTGGATCGCAGCAGGCCTTGTGACCAGCATCTCTCCTGAGCTGGAATGCCTCTCAGGTACCAAAACCCTTAAGGTGTCATCTGCTGCCAGAGCTGATGGAAGGCCAGGTGCAAAGTCCACCTGCTCGAGTCTCAATTTTATTGCCTGTTGAGGAATGCCAAGGCATTGTGAGTATTTTCTCAAAACTCGAGAGAGAAATTTTTCTTTGAGCTAGCTTCTCATTCACCCATTTGTTCTCTGTTTCTTGGTGTGTGGGTACATACTTCATTCTACTGGATCCAAATACTTTTGTTTCTCTGTGTGTGTGTGTTTGTCCGTTGTGTGTATGTGCATGTATATATGGATAAGTTAAGGTACCATTAAGTAAGTTAATGTGAATCTTGTCATTTTATAATCTGTAAATAACTTGATTTTCTTTTTTTTTCTCTCTTTCTCTCTCTCTTTCTCTCTTTCTCTCTCTCTCTTTCTCTCTCTCTCTTTCTACATTTCTGAATTATTTTGTAATGATAAATTGCTGTTAAGTTATTAATAAATCTAGATTTCCTACTAAATCATCACCGTGTTAATATTTTCATCTGCAACACTATGGCTACGTATTGTATAAATAAGTTATAGTTCAATGAAGACTGATCTGAGTCCGAGTTACCTGGTGATTGCACCCCCACCTACAAGGCCTGTCAGCTGCTAGCCTGAGCACAGGAGACAATGTAGTTACTGTCCAAGGTACATAAACACTGGGCCTCTATGGATGAGTGACAAAATCAGGGCAACATCTAGGAACAGGACACAAGGAACAAGGGCAAGAGACTAAGATCAGACTTGGATTTGACTTGGTCTGATCACAAAGTTAGTGATCTTAATAAGCTTTTGAAGAGAGATGGAAGGTACTTTATAGAACTGTAATTAAGTATGAACCATTACAAAACAACTTATGATATTTTTTTTAACTATCGGAGCTGCAAGGGCAACAGACAAATTCTGTCACTTCAATTTTACGGTTTCCCAATAGACTAAATACACACAAGTTACTTAAACTATATAAAAAGAGAAATATTAATCCTGAACACATAAATACAAACCAGCTCTGTGGCATTCCCACCTATCTGGAGTAAGCATCGGAAGGAAAAAGCAGTCTTGCAAAGGGAATACACTGGGAAACAAAAAAAACAAATGGGGGTGTCATGCTTTCCCACAGCATTGTCGTTATCCTGAATAGACAGCCTTATGAAAGACAAAACAGGAGAAGCTGTCCTGGTCTTCTAGACAGAGTTGCAATTTTGATGCTGACTCAGGATTTAAAGCAGCAAACCAGTGGATTAAGGGAATTTAAATTCTGAATTTGCCCTGTATCAACTTTTTTTTTTAAAAAAAAAGACAGACAAAAATTAAAGAGGGAAGGTTGGTCTATACAACTGGTATTATTTTTAGCATCTATTTTAAAAACAACACTGCTTTCATGGCATAAGGAATGTATTTTCCAGACAAGCAGAAAAGAGTTGCATCTTAAAGTTTTAACCATAGTAAGAAGCTGGCAGAACCATCCCAGTCTAAAATAATACTCAGATTATCTTTCAAGGCAGAAAGACCACTTTAACTATCAGATATACCCTTCACTCAGATGGTCTAACATATGATTCAGCTCTCACCTGCTCCTGCTACAGCCACCACCTTCACAAGCATGAATAAGTCAGTCAGACTCTCTCTATTTTATTCCCTGCCTTGCAGCCCACACTTCTTCCCTACCATGTAGGGGTAGCAAAGATAGAGGTATGAAGGCTGTAGGCATTTAGATTTTAAATCTAAATACTACACCTAAGGATGTACCTAAACCAAATACAACAAATACAGAGGGAATACATTAAAATAGCTCACTAATAAAACAGGGACCAAAAAATTATCACCTCTATCCTGAAAAGGATCCACCTTCGTGATGTCAAGAGTTAGCCTAGAAGAAACCTGTGTTCCTACTTCAGAGAACTAGAAAAACCTTCAGGTTCAAAGTTGCTGCATGTTAAAGCTTTTGAAATGTAGTAAAGAACTCCTGATGTGACAAACTATTTCTTGGTTTGCCCACTGTTGTATTAGCAAGCACAAGGGATCACTGTCTCCGTAAAAAATACAGTTTCTATGTGTAAACATTCATTTTGTTATCCTTCAAAATACTGAGAGTTGGAGACCAGGCTAAGTGCAACACATAGTATATTGCTTATCTATTCTATGCTGTATTGGACATCAGTAATTCAAGTAGTTACTGCAAAGAACAAAGATGCATATCACATTACTATCTCCCTTTATTGCCTGCTCTAGCCTTCTCTGTATCTACTGCATTGTACTACTGCCTAACCACTAGGACCACATATGTTTCATTGTCTGACTTTTTGTTTTAAATAGCATAGTACTTCACACTGCCCTTGTTCACTCTTAGTGTTTCAACTTGAGCCCATTTGTTTTAACTTCTGCATGCTGCACCACATTTAAGATTGGTTGCACCTGAGAGTTCTGCATTATTGCAAAACTCACGGCTGAACTTCACAAACACGCCATCCACCACCACCATCCACCACAGGTCTAGCAGCAAAAACATCAACAAGGGCCTTGCACTTCCTCCTATTCAACATTCCTCTCTTATCCAAGGGTATTAACACTGAGTTTTCTGTGTCCTTGTTTTACTTGCTATTACACCTGCTGGAACAGCGATTCCCAACATTTTTCTAGCTCAACTCTGCTGCCATAGCCTTTCTTCTCATTTCCTTACTTTCCCATCCCTATCTTCTGCTTTTTTTTTTTATTATTTTCTCCTTGCACTCCTTCTCCCGTATGAGCACCAGTTCTGTATGGGCACCTCATAACCTGGTGGGGTGAAGAGATACAGGGCTATAAGCCCAGATAAAAGTCTCCAGAAGCACTCCCAAGCACCCCCCACCCTGGGGGCACAGCCAGAAGCAGGCAAAAGGAGTTAGCGAGCCAGTGCTCCTGTGGAATTAAGGGCCGGTACCTAGCTGCACCTTGCCTGCAACACCTTGCACCTCACTAGATGGGAACTACCGCTATATGAGGAGGTCTTTGGCACCCATAGCCTGCAGAGGCAAGCTGGCTTGCTCTTTTGGACTCCCTCTCAAAAGGACAATGTGTAAAGTGTTACTGGCAGACTTGCTGCACTGCAGTTCCAGTCAAGTTACAGGCTTTTCTTCTTATTGTCTGCACAACCCAGGAAACACACAGCTCTAACTGGGAAAGCTTTAACTTCTCATTTTCTCTGACCAAACCTCGAGTTTCAGATTAGTTACATGCACAAGTCAAATATGATGTTCCAGGTACCATCATTCCCATCCAGTTTGCTTCAACTGGCTAAGCACAGGATGGAAAATAAAAACTGGTAACAAGCTTTTCTATTCTGTCATATTTTACACTGCCTGCTGTCTTCTCTCAGGAAGACAGAAAAACTGTATTGCAGAATACTGCCCTAAGAAAAAGGTCACATCTACACTGCAGAAGAACAAGAAAAAACCATAAGCTCAGTCAACTAACATCTGCAGAGACTGGCTGAGCTACAGCCAAGACATTTTCAGCCTGACACCACTGTGGGTACCCATCATCTACCATGTAGTCTCTCTACAGGAGAGAGAACCCATTATAGATGCATGGGAAATGCCCGTATGAGCAAGCTTCATGGCCACACGAGCAAGCTTCCCTGAAACAACAGGTTTAAACTGCATCGACTATGTGACGCTGCTAGCTCCAGTTCTGCTGGAGATGCACAGCAGCCCACCCATCAAAAGTAAATTCACATTAGGTAAGAGATTCACCGAAAGTGAGTTACCATTGCCCAGGCTACACACATTCTCCTGAAGACTATCAGTTACCCCCCTTTGCTGACACAAAGGAAACTGCCCAGAAAAGATATATAACGACTTGGGCACAGCAGACCTGCATCTGCTGAGGAATTAAGCATTCATCTTTTTGCAACCTGCTCCCAGTAGTTGGATCAAATTATATTTGTCTACTGCAAAACGAGCAATTTCAAACCAAAATATGCACTCTGCCTGTAACTACACCACCTGAAATGAAAACTAAAAAGGAAGCAGAAACATACAAAAAAATACCCAATAGGTGTTACATGTTGCAACAGACATTTGAGCTTTTAGCCAGGCCTTACATGTGTCCTTTTATAAACCTGTAACCACACAAAACTTCTGGGTCACACCTTCCAAATCTCAATGAGCCTTGTCAGACACAACTTACAACCACAAGCAGCTCCCACTGGTATGACAAACAGTATTGTGTGAGTGAGAGAGCTACGTTGACAGTCATAGTATTTGACAAACCAGATCTTTATTGCACTGGGGGATGCATTTTTAAAGACATGTGAATCAATGTGTGGCTCCCCTTACAATGACTCTTATCACTGAAATGCCTATAACACTATACAAGAGACTTATTTGTTGCTTTCACTAAGCGAAGAAAAACACGGTACTCTCTATAAAGCCTTGCTATCTACACCAGCAGGCATGGGAGGTAATGACTCCCAGCACCCCACCAGTCCCTTCTCTGGGATTCCACCGTATCAGAACAACCACCCAAACGTGGGCTCTTTTCCTACAGATCCGACATTGAGCACCTCCGCCGAGTCAGAAGTCTGGTACACGATCTCTCACTCGCATGCTGAAAAACATAGCTTTTCTGAATCAGGATCAAAGGAGAGAAATCCAAGCAAGCTCTGGTGTCCACCCGGCATCCCTCGGTGGCACGCAGGCAGCGAGAGGGCAAAACAGAGACCAGGCTGCTGCTTCCTCCTCCCCCCGGGCCTACGTTTTCTTGAAGATTGTTTTCTAACGAGCCATTACGAGCTCTTCCTTCTTCTTACAAATTACTTTTCGCTAGTACTCCAGTAATACTTAGCAGCTGCTGTTTAAAACCAGCCCGGATTACTTCCTACAACTCCCCACCCGTTTCGACCAAACCCGCCACAGCACAGCGCCATGGTTTCAGCACCGATTCCTCCCGGGGCTCAAGTCGTGACTGCCCTGCGGTCCCCTGAGGGAGCCGCAGTCCGGCGCCGGGTGCCCACGGCCACCTCCGAAGGGTGAGGGTCTGCCCCGCCGGCCGCCGCGTTAGCAGGTTAGAGGCCGCCGTTTCAGCACCGGGATCCCGCAAACGATCACAGGACCCGACGGCATTGCTGCAGGCTCCCAGTTTCAATTTCCTGCCGAGGGGACGCCGCGCTGCTCCGGACGGCCCCGGGAGCAGAGCTCGGTCCCGGACGCGGCCCAGCGTTCCTTAACGTTTCCCCGCGCAGTATTTCAAGCCCGGCGCTGGAAGCCGGCGAAGGGCAACC